CATGATGTCACAATATCAACGAACGGAATCTGCTGTGTTCTGTTTATTATAAGTAAAATATTATTTATTTTCTTAGGAAAAGAAGTGTTGTATATTTCCATGCTTAAGAATTACAAGTTGTTAGTTGAATTTATTTAATAAAATGTTTGTGTAATCAATCTATTTTGTTTTATTTTAATAAGTACGCAAAAATAATATAATTAAAATAGATTTATAGGTTGTTTTACAATAAATTATAAGCGGAACATAACATTTGTTGATCATTAAAAAGTTTGATCTCCGAGTGCATATAAGTAAATCTTTAAATAAATTACTTATGCAGTAATCCTACGTAAGAATATGTTATGATTATTAAGCAGCGGGCATCAGACACAAGCGGTGGAGGAAACACTTAATTTTATGAAAAATGTTATATTGAAATCGAACTTACTTATAAAATAAACTATTTAATTTTTAATTAATGCTTGTTTTAGTAATTATAGTTATCTTACATATCAAAGTTATTCAGTAAAGAGCAAACGTGGGCTAACCTTTGGTTTCCGAGACCAAAATGTCCTTATAAAACATAATGTCATCCCTGTCATTATCTTCGACAAAACAGTGATAACAATATGTTTTAAACTTGGATTTTGAACACAGTAAATGGTATTAACGTTGGCAATAACATGAGTTCTATGACGTCACAGCAACCTTCTTGCACTGTGTTTCTTATCTAGAATATCTTTATATATATAATTCTTCTGTGAGTGTGTATGTCACTGAACTTCTCTCAAACGACTGGACCGATTTTGATGAAATTTTTTGTGTGTGTTCAAGGTCATCTGGGAATGGTTTAGATTCACAATTTTGTTCGCTGGACAATGTTTTTTAATTATTTTTTAATTTATTAGTAGTTGTTGATTTTGGAATGTTTCACATTGGATCCGACAGACGGCGCTAATATCGCAGTGTCAAATTTTAAGTAATATTCGAACTAAAGACGTGTAGACAGGACAACGTCTGTCGGGTCCGCTAGTATAATATATTTTAAGTATGTATATTATATATTTACGGATTTGGACACATCGAACCATTGATAACGTCGTTCCGCAGTCGTGTTGAACACATCTTCAATACACTTGCTTTTCAACCAGCTGTAATAAAGTAAACATTATAGTTATTTAATGTCTTAAATGAATTATCATACTAATAAGACAACTCTTGAATTGTCTTGTCCTTTAAAACTTATTAGTTCTGGCTCCATCGGTACAGGAAGATCAAACAAAGTGTGGACAAATTGTGGGAAAAAGTATAGGATATGAATTCAAATATGATGGCTGATAGAGACATATGGAAGGACGTACTGCGTCAACCTTCCATAAAGACAATAGCAGGTGATGATTAGTTATATTCTGGTAATTTTTGGCTGTTCAAGTTTTATGTAACATTCTTACTTTTACGTTGAATGATTTAAAAAAAAACTAGGAGAAATAAAGAAGCGGCATTTGTATCATTTATTTACCCCAGCATACTTCATTGGTACATTGTTAAAGGTTTTTATTCATTAAAGATAGTATTCGTATTTCGTAAGTACAAGAAATATACATCTTGTATGCACACACGAATGGATACTGGATTAATATACATTTTTTTTTGTATTATATTTCCGTATAAATAACCATACAAGTTACATGTGATAAAAGATATGGATATAGTTTTTATAACAATGTATAAACAAGTAAACAACTTTAAACGGTGTTTAAGGTAACACTAGAAATATATTAATGTTTAGAAAAAACTTCAACCGATGGCTTTATACATAGGTAGCAGAGCGCAATATGTTTAATTCGCGCCCACGTAATATGTACAACCAATCCACCAATATATATGATAGATGGAGTACATAACTGCTAACTAAGTAGTACATCTTTATATACTTTAACCCCAGCCGTAAGTGTTATGTATCGAGCTTTAGATCAAAGTCATTAAGTCTATGCAACAGACAATACTCTAAAAACTATTTTGTAGAGCATTGTCTCTTTCTAAAGCTTGATATGTAAAATTACGGCAGGGCACTTAACTCGTATAATTAGTAAATCGCAAGCTAATTTTGTTATATATGTATATAGGTGAAAAGATTTTAAATTGCCAACGGTATATATCCGTCGATATGAAGCGATATAGAGGACTTAATTGATTATCCCTTGTACGAAGTGAGCATCTCGAAATAGCTTATAGTCAAAGCAACCTTATCCAACAATATTTACAACAACAATTTTATTAATTAGGAAAATCATTGGTACGAATCATACACGCATTGATGGTATAGAAGTTAAAAGAAACAATTGAAGTAGAGACAAGACGTTTGCCTTCCTATCTAGAATCAATTTAATTATATACTACTTATATTTTTGTACCTTTCATTTGATGCCGAGAAATAATCAATAAGTAAATTTTGTGCAACTTTGAATAATGTTATATAGAACTCAACCCACTTAACTTGAATCTTTTAAATAGTAACCTACCCATAAGGCTGTCTTAAAAAGTTATTAAAAGAATTTTCATGACTCAAAATAGTTAGTAAGTTATGTGTAATAGGAAAAAATATATATACATGTTTTTAATGATAATATAAAAGATATACTTACAGTTTTAATACTGAATTAGTTTCGTTTTAATCCCAACATAGTTTCTCGGCATCAGACGTTTATTTAATATTTTGATGTAATGGAATATTTGTATTGGAACAATTCAAATATTCGATTTAATTTATTTCACTCATAAAAATGTTATATTGTTTGTTATAATGAGCTAGTATTCTAATAGAATTAGATAACTATAAATTGCTTGAATTAACATTTTGGACCGATTTATGACTACGCCATCTACGCCATCTTTGTTTTCAATCAACTGTTAAAAACAATAAAACCTTTTTTTTCATTTTCACTTCGTAACTAGTTGTATTTGGGACTAATTATTGAATGAATTTATTACAATCATGTTTAACTTCAAAAAAACGATATTAATTGCACGTTAAAAACGCTCTTTTAAAATAGTTTTGTATAATAAAGAACATGATTAAACGGAAAAATTCATGCAAGCAGTCTTTTTGTGGCTTTATTCGCCATTAGCGTTAAATATGTATTTAGTTTTAAATCATCATCAATTTCTGTAAAATCTGATGCATTATATTTATATATACATTATAATTTCGCATAAAGGTTACAAAAGTTAATTATTAAAAAAAAACACTTGAAATACAATACGTTTTTATCTTATTGTGTTGGATAATAGTAACGAAGTTGGATCGGTTTACGAGCGGAAAAATTTACAAGTATCCATTTCCTCGGTCGAGCGTTGCCTTAACCGCACTATAATGCATTTTTTTTTCAACCTAGTCTGCAATTGAGGTCGGGACGCTTTCAACGAGAAAAATCACGCTTTTAAAATCATTCGCCCGTTTTAGAGAAACAACAATACATTATGACTGCAGTTCATGAAAAACTATTTCATTAACTCTATTATGATTCAAATACTCATAAAAGTTTAAATTTAAAAGATGGATTACTTTAATTTCAAATTATTAATTATAAAATGATTTTTAATTTCCAAATTGTTTCGAATTTTGTTTTGATTCTTTTATTCTATTCTACATTGTGTAAAATAAAGTTATGCAATGCGACAAACTTATCTGGACCGGTAAGAGATCTGCAAGATACCTACTGGCAACCAAAATAACATAAAAGAAAAAAACAACACAAGACAGCTTCAGTACGATAAGGATCTGTGAGTGTCAGCGCTCATTCGCACGGACGCTTTTTTAACGCCGCGTTAAAATTCAGCGTAAGCGGCTCTCGAGCTAGAACGCTTTAAAATTATTCTTGTTCCGTCCGTCCTGTGCTCAATGAACAAATGCATGAAAATGCATTTGTTCGTTTTGAACACTTTAAAAGCGCGATAAAAAAGCGCTCTTGCGATTGAGCTCTTACATCCACCGGGTCAGACAACTTTGTCGGTCTATCAGTGAGTTTCTAAGACCAAAATCTCCGTATAAAATATATTGTTATCTTTGTTTTGTCAAAGATGAAAGACAGAGATGACGATATGTTTTAAACGCACATATCAGTCTCAGAAATAATATATGCTATACAATCAGTATATTTTATACGGTTAATCACATTTTTTTATTATCTTTAAGAGCTTTATTGCATACATTGCCAGTCACACGTTACAAGAATTCATCAACCATTCTTTATATCCTTCAGTATTACGTCTATTGTTATTATTATTGCTAAAATTAGTTTACTATTAACTTGTATTAAGTTAAATATATTTAATACTTAAATGCAAAAAAGCCCTTAAACATGAAACATATCAAACAATATTTTATGAGTTTTCCAACCGTGAGTTTCTGAGACCAATATCTCAGTATAAAACAATTATCTGTGACAAAACTGAGACAACAATATTTTTTGAACGGAGATTTTGATATCAGAAATTAACGGTAAGACAAATATTGACAGTTGACAGCTGTAAAAGTTTTCTTAACACTTGAAAGATGTCAAAACTCGAAATTTCTATTTAATGCGATGATGTTGCTATATTTATAGGAATGACAAAGATGTTATCACATCTACTATCACAGAATATTTTATTTCGAGTAACACTTGAGAACTGCGCAGAATGGATGTTAAAAGAAAATATTATTCTAGATTAAATATCTTATAACATTTACCAAACAACAAACATTAAACCGAGCCCAGACTTTAAAATTTGCAGTTTGATAATGACACATTAAATCTTAAGAGCCATTTAATTATTTATTAAACAAAACACGCATTTGTATACAAAAAATACGCAAATACGCAGTTTTAAATATCTATAATACCTATTTTGTTTCGTGGCAGTATCACCTAAATATTTCATAATTTTAATAACATTCCTTTCACCTATCTTTTAACATTTTTATTTATTAATAACAGTAATTTAAATATCAGAGAAGAATTGAAGACATTCTTTATACAATATTATAGACTTTTAATATATTATGTATTTAAATATTGTTCAACGATGTTTCAACACGGGAAATCTTTTTCCTTATTTGGATCTCGAAAAAATAACATCTAGCAACAAACAACACAATATAAACTATTTCATACAACAACGGGTCTTGCCAATACAATTCACACAATTTACATAAATTAAACATTATAAGGTAATGGGAACGTTTTACATATTAATAATAATTAATCTATTCTAACAAATGACCACAGGCCCAAGACAGAAATTCAAGATAAACCTATACTCGGGTGTCGACTATCGAGACTCCAATCGTGCGGCTATCGGGACTGCACTAACATATGAATATCCACTAAACTGTGCGTTTATTGAATTTATTTACAGTCCTTAAACATATTCTCGTAACTGTCGAACGATTTGTAGAAAACCCGATTTACACGAATTACCTTCCAGCAGCAGCAGAACCATTTGATAACGTAAAATAATTTGAGACGTCGCACTTACTTAAACGATTTACGATTCGACGAGCACGCACTGGGGCCTCGGGAGGCCGCTGCGCCGGCATTATTTGCCTCCGAGTCCAAACTTCATGAAGATTAGTTCCTTGCCTTTGCTGAGGATGTCTCCGCCGGGGGCGGTCATCTCCGTGAACTTCTGCATGAGGTTCGGCTGCGAAGTGGGGGGCTGTGTAGTGGGGGGTTGGGGCTGGGGTGCGGGCACGACGGCGGGGCCGCCGCGGCGGGCGGGCGAGGGCTGGGGGGGCGGTGCGGCGGCCGGTGTGCCCGGCGACTGCACCGGCGGTGTGCTCGCGTTACCAGCGCTCGTGCGCGCGATCGTGCTCGCCGCCTGACCGCTCGCTGCGCCTCTCGCTCTCGCCTGCTGTTGCAAACCTTCCTACACCCCTGACTTTATGAGTTCCTGGTACTTGCTAGCATCAAATATCTCGATCTCTATACGTTGAATTGCACAACCACAGTAACTTTGTAGCTCAACTTCAATTAAATATAGTGAGTACTGCTTACTGTGGGAATAGTAACGGAAATTTTGAAAGCTAGTGATGCAATTAAGCACGATGAAATATATAGAAAACCTAAATTTATTGTTTTTATTTATATAATATTAACAATAGCAAGTATCATTCAAAAGCGCCTTTCCTTATCATTAATAAATTTCTAGACTATAAACATTGTTAGTGATGATAAATACAATTTCCTCACAATTCTATACGTATAGAAATCGAGATGGCTTTCTAAATGAGGTGGGTTAGAGGTATCAGAAAATGAAAAAGGTTCTAGAATCATCACTACTTTCTAGCAATATGAATGGACTTTGCCACTGTACGAATTGATCTAGATTATTCAAACACATTAGTTATCACTTAACGCTGGAAACCATAATGATTCAAACTAATTTATTCATTGATCAAATACTAAATTATCACAAATATTTTTCTTCTGTTATCTTTATTACTATAATGCGCTCATTTCCCTTCTTTTTAATTATAAACATTGTGCATTACATTTTGCTAACACAACTCACATTGTGCATAGCATTCGATCACAATTTCATGCATGCGTACAAACATTATGCATGCACATGCAAACCGCCAAACAAAGCGAGATAGAGAAGATAGTGGTAGCATTAGAAGGTATAAAATGGTGACATTAAAATAAAAATAATCACACTCACATTCTATATTAAAACAAAAAGAGGCTAAAGATCACAAGAAGGGCTAAGCACAAGTCCTGTTTGTAGTAACCCACGTGAAGGGGTTGTAACTATGGGCCCAAAGAGTCTGTACGAATGTAAACGAGTGATGGTATTTTGATGTGAGTAAAGCATACGCCAGTGTCTTATGTACTTGTATGTATGAAAATTTATCCTATAGGCATAACAACTAATGACGTGTAAACATGATCCAAAACAACTCATCCGTCACTTTGAAATCACAAAATACGGCTCTCGCAGTACAGGCCGCTGCAATGGTCACGCCGGAATAACAACGAAGGGAAAATGAAAAAAAATGAAGAAAAACAAACAGTGAAAAATAATTAAGAAATAAACTAAATGAAGTGAATGACAGTCGAACGAAAAACGAACTATAAGTACCCTTGCATATAGTATGTTTGAAAACGGTATTGTTGTGGGTCAATATAAACGGTATTTATTTTTTACCTGAGAATTCGCCTGTTCTGGATTACTGGCGGATGTGTTGTGGTCTAACTGAGAAGGGGGAAGAGGGCAGGCATCTAGCAAACAGACAATACACACAACATATATAGTGACCACAGACAACCGCTTGAATCTTGGACCACACGTCACGACCATCGTGCTCTGGCCTATGCTATGTTGCGTGTATTTCTTCAGACCCGCCTACCCCGTGTTTATTGACAGATACCATCTCAATAAATAAAGTAATACCACCGAATAAAATAAAAGAAAACAGGAAAGATAGTTTAAAACGTAGATTAAAAAATAAAATCAGCAAGATTAACTTTAATCATCCAAAATTGACACATGACCGTGTTCCTAGATTGAGAGTCTTTATATTTCTGACACATTCAAGTTTGAGCGATGTTGGTGACAGTGTAATCCAAGATAGTGTTTTTCAGCATAAGTGTACACCAAGAGTCTTTGTGCTCCGTGGATTGCAACCGGACTCGCTTTCGCCTCAAACAAATGTAGAAGAGATCCTAAAAGAGATTATGTGTTTGACTGTACACTGTTTTTTATAAATAAGTGATGATTTCGAAACTCGTAGCGCCGAGTCCCGTCGCAATCGCAAGACCGTGTACGAGAAAGATGACAGAGAGTACCAGAGCGGAAAGGCGAGCGTCTCGCAGTAAGTCACATAGCAAGTCCAAGGTGCAAACATGAAACACTCAAAGCTCTCAGTGATCCGGACCGAGACTGACTCGGTCGGACGTAAGTCGCATATCCAATTATTATATCTTTGACAACTAACAATTAGTTAACTATAACAGCGAATATCGAAAAGCCCTTTCAAGGATGTTAGATGTACCACCTATCATACGTTTTAAATTTATATCCAAAAATGTTGCTTATTAATTATACAACTCCTATTTTTTTTTGTTGCCAGTAATGTTTCAGTAGATTCAAATGACCCGGGGAGGCCAAGCATAAAGTGCTTCTTTGTGATCCTCACATTGATTTCACCGGAGGATTTCCGTGAGGTTCAATCACCTCGCAGTTGATAACTGGATACTGTCGCACTACTGTTTGTCTATTTGCTCAATTAATTTTAGCATTTTATCCATGTTCCCCTACCCTGTATTTGCAATTTCATCTAACATCCCTGCAGCATCATCGGCGCTACTCATTACATTACATCGAGAGCAAAGAGCCGAACCTGTCTTGCGGTGATGATTGCGGGGCGCGGGGGCGACGTTGTCGCGTGGCGGGGGCGGGGGCCCGCGGGCGCCGNNNCGGGGCCAGGCGCCCCGCCCCGCCCCCGCCCGGCGCCCGGAATCTGCGGCGTGGGACCCGGACCTACTGCTCGCCCAGCCATTCCGGTTACTCCTTGCGCTACACCTAGGCAACAGAACAAATGCCAATATGCAAAACGTTGTACTCAAAAACGTTGCAATACTTTGTAATTTTTATGTAAAAAAGTTAGTAGTAAAGAAAATTCTACAAAAGATCTAACCAATGAAAGAACTTTAAAAAAAAATTGTATTCCCAAAAGGGAATACTACGTTTTGAGACTAAGCAAAGTCATCCGGATAGAAACAACTTTACAAACCTTGACTGGAATGCCCCTGGGGGCCATACTGGTCGTTGGCCTCAGTGAGAAAGTTGCTAGGCACGAGGCCACGCATACCGTCGATCTCCGCCATATAGAACCCGTCGTCGTCCATCTCGCCGTACACATGGATTATTTGACCCGTCTGGAAGCTAAGCTCCGCCTAAAAATGACCATAAAATAGAATTCCATTTGCACCATTAATACCTTAGTTGGTCAATTTCTGCTTTATTAAGTAGTATGACAGAACATCCCGTTTTAAAGAGCAACAAAAGGACAAAGATTAGGAATAGATAAAAAATATGTTTAGGCGTCGGACATTAACATTCTTGAAACATTAAAAACTCACATCAGCATCGACATTTGGGCTTAGTTCCTGTGGATCGTAGTCGTACAAAGCGACCATGCGCCGGACGGGTTGGTTCGCGTAGGCGTCGGTCCAACGGTCGCGAGGCTTCGTCACCTGGCCCGTGGCCTCTTGTTCCGATACTTCCACCACCATATTGTGCGGAACATAGCCGCGGCGCCCCCGACACTCGCCCCAGTAGAAGCCATCGGCATCTTTGTCACCCCAAACCTGAGCACAAACTTATGTTTTACGATCCAAAGAAACTCGATATAGCAGCAGGTATTTGATCAATGATTTTAAGGTCAATTAAAAGTGCTGTATGTAAGGAACAGCAGTAAATTTTCAACACAATGTTAGATATGTTAGCTGATAATCTTTCCAATCACATTACAATCCAGAAGACGTCCAAATTTTAATTCTCTCAATTTATTTTAAAAGGATTTATGCAAACCTTGATTGTGTCTCCCTCGCTGAACGGTAGCTCCTCATCACAACTCTCAGGATTTGGACTCATAGTCGCCGGATCGTAATCAAACAAAGCGATGAAGTAGCGACTCCTCTTAGACTGTGGGTGGGTTTGCGCCTGGCGCGGCCCCGGCTGCGGCCCGCGGGGTCCCGTCGACGCCGCGCCACGCGGCCCGTACTGCATGCTGCTTTGCATGCCGCTCTGCATACTGCTTTGCATGCCGCTCTGCATGCCGCCCTGCATGCTGCTCTGCATGCCGGTCTGCATGCCGCTCTGCATGCCGCTCTGCATGCCGCCCTGCATGCCGCCCTGCATGCCGCTCTGCATGCCGCCCTGCATGCCGCTCTGCATGCCGCCCTGCATGCCGCCCTGCTGACCCACCTATTATAACAATACATATTTAAGTATATATCACTAGCATAAAAAATTTAAATAAGAAATACAAACAAATTAACAGTGAGGTAAAAGTAGGAAGATGCTAAAAAATACAGCATGAAGTAATATCTACCAATTAATTTATCTGCTAAGAATTTTCAAATATTGTTATATGGTATTAATGGTGTCAAATTAAGTGTGCTTTTGGATTAAAAGATCCCGTGGACTCAGAGGTCTAATTTTAGTCCTCTTTCCTACTCTTTTCTTATAAAGAAGGGATGGGAAGGGGAGACGGATTTGGTATAGGAAGGGGAAATATCCTCTTCTCTGTCGATAAGACAATGGTTATTTCGCTATTCTAGCGAATTCAAGTGGCCGCTTGATCGTTTACTACCTTTTGCAATAAAAACATACAGTAACATGAACCTGGTGGGGGTTAGGAGGGCGGCCCCTTTCGTGGTGGTTTCTCGGGGTCGGGTTCTGGTACTGCTGCTGCTGGCCGGGGTACTGGGCCGGCTGACTACTTGGGAACTGGCCGGCCGGTGGATAGGGGGGTTGCTGCGTGCCATGGTAAGCTGGTGTACTCGGGTACTGCTGACCCGAAGGCTGCTGCGACGCTTGACTCGGTTGGGACGGTTGCTGCTGACGTCCGTACGAACCAACACATTAATAAGGTTAGATTTTTCTATTACAAAGCCAACAGCAATATAACCAAGCTTGTAGCCAATAGTCATCGTCGTCGTAATGCGATCGGAAGCGTTAGAAAACTTTACCTTCGTCTGGAACATTTAATTTAGACATTCCTTTTACTCTATTCAAATCCCCATGCACAACGAAAGCTAGCGTGCAGCGTTTGTTCTTGAAATCACTTATTGTGAATGTATTACGCCTTGTTCCATATCAGGCTCCTAGCATTTGATTATGCAGAAAGAAACAATGTAACAAATTTAATCCAATTTATTCTTCAGACGTAGCATCAGTTTAAATAACCTTATAAAAAAGAGAGAACGAGTGTGTAAGAATTGTTGTTTCGAGTAAAGGAGTTGAAGCCAAGACAACATGCAGGAACAACAGACACGCTTGGCGCATGCTCGGGTGAAATGAATCTGTGTCGAGTAATCTGTAAGAATATTCTGACTTTTTCAATAATTCAATTTGCATCTTAGCTAAGGTAAAATATATTAAAACCTTACTGGTGTAAGGGTAGTGTACCGGTGTAATGTAAACAATTGAAGACGCAACAGTGACAAGTGAAAAGATGAATAACACAAACAACGGTAAAGTGGTAAAGTCGTGATTCGGAAACTCGGTATAAATCGAAAAAGACAGAGCGCAGTGAACAAGTGCCAGCACATGGAGAGCACATCGATGACAGTTAGAGAGATCGCAGACCTGCGGCCGACGGCGCGTCGTCTCATCCTCTTCGCAACTCAACTGCTCCGTGGCGCCCTCTTTAGTGATTTCGATGGCCGGTATCCCCGATTGCTGATAGTACCACACAGTCATTCAACATTTTTTTACACAAAACATTCTAACTAGACATAACGAAATGAAATTCATGGCGTTATCTAAGAGATGGTCGGTGAGGAAAATGTTATTGGCGATTGAAGTGACATACTCCAACGTGATTACCATAACAACACTAACCATCGAAGCGTGAAAAGATATTTTACGAAGCATTGTTTACATAAAAGTGATAGTGAGGCACAATAACATAAAACAATCACATTAGTTGAAGGCTAAGAAGAGCAAAGGAAGCTGAAATAAGGTGAAGAAAATTTAAGTCCACCTGTTTAAATGTTGGAGATAATATTCCTGTACAGAATTTATTTGTATTAAACAAATAAGATGATCTGTTTCCTTTACATACATGTAATGGTATAGTGTAGACAATGTGCGAATCAAATGAAAATGTATACCTATAACAGTATCAAGATTTCTTGGCTACACTGTAAAAATTTGTTCAATATTTGAGTTTAGTTTAATTAAATCCACACATGTTCTCCCAAACGTGACATCTAGCTATTCTAGTTTTATATCAAATACTTATATTTGTGTCGTATCAAGTTTAAAAACTAAACGTCATTATTTTCTATAACGACTTTTATTATTTTAAAACATCTAACACCTACATTGTCACTAAGCTCTTTATCATTTTCTACGTTTATATGAACGAAAAGCATACTCAAAATTAAATATCTTTTATATATTATTTAAATATCACTACATTAAATTTATGAGTGTATCATAACTAAAAAACGGGCACACTGTGTATACAGATTAAAAACTAAAACAAAATAAAAACTAATGACAGTAACTAAAACACTCTCAAACAACAAAAAAAAAGATAATACAAAAACAAAAAAGGTGTATTATAAATATAATAAAGTAATTTAAAACAAAACGAAGGTTAAAAACGTGTTAAAATTCCTTACCGAAGGGGTTATTTTGTCGAATATACTCTTTAGTAGACCTGTGCCGAATCCACCGGTTTGCTACGGAAAGGTGTATAACAGTTATGTGAGAGAGAGAGGTAAGGTAATTCGGAATGAATTAATATATGATGAGGGTTCTGTCTGTGTCACAAAGTACAAGCTCTTTATATGTTCTAGTATACAAAGGTAAGGTGTGGATTGTTCAGGTATGGGCCAACAGCACTAGAGACTACGGATCTAGTCGCAAGCGGTATGCATTTAAATTTGATCTCTCGGCCCTTTGTGCAGCTATACTGTGGCGGAGTGACCGTCGTGTACCGGACTGCAAAACTACCGGAGGAAAGGCCAGCGATAGAAGGACAGGAAATATTATAAAGAGTGCAGTTTGCAACACCGATTAAAAGCGTCGCACGCGATTTGATTAGTAAATATCAAAATTAATCACTAAATGTTAGTTTCTGATCCAGATTCTAGATCTTAGAATATATATCAAGTAATAAGTAACAACAAATCGCACACGATACTAGAAGAGAGCGAATGATATGCAGGTTTTTAACTTCAAAGGAATTTTTCAGATCAAAATCCGTATATTGCAAATTAAATTCAGAATTACTGATCTGGTTTCCGCGTCGATTTTATTAAAAAACGTGTTCGATTTTTAAAACTTTGAATTTCTTTTACAAAATACTGAAATTGATTATTAAGAAGTTAAAAAACTACGTATTTAAAATGATAGCTAAAGATCACACAGGATATAAATGAATAGTAAATAATAAGCGAATACTTTTTGGTATTTGAACAAAATGGCGGTACGATAAAAATGACGATTTACACAAATTTTACAACACTGATTTGCAATCTATAATACACACAAGTGCTGTGCCTCAACAACATTAACAGGTCAAAAATAATAGAAAATTATTATTGAAAGAAATAAATAAATAATGTCACAAATAAGCAAAATTTTATTGCAAAAATGCCAACATTTTTGTAGAATTTTAAAATGTAATTAGTCACGAATTTACATGAAATTTTTAAAATGTTTTAGTTATTCGTCTGCAGATCGACATAAATTGCAATGGTTTTTGTTCTTTCTTACCCCTTTCATATGAAATGCATTTAAAACTTCGAATGTTTGACAATTTCCGTAAATATTTTACAATTAAATTTTTATCAAATAAATTCTTAACTTTAATATCTTTTTATATTTTATTTGCAAAAACATGCTTCAATTTTTTATGTTGATCTGCAGTCGATAGTTCTTTGAGTTCCAATTATAATTTTTAATGAGAAGACAACAAATAGATAGCAAATGAATGTTTACCTGAGCTGCATGTTGGTCGTGACGATTCGCACTCGGAAATATTTCCTTATCGGATAAGTTTTCGTCGTGCTCTATGACTTGTTGCTGTTGCTGGTAGGGCTGCGGTCGCTGCTGGCCGCGGAATCCCGGCGTGGGCTGGTTCAGCATCGGCGCCCCGCGGGGCATCCGCGACGCCACACCGCGCAGTACGGCCGGTGGGATCGGCGTCGGAGCACTATCACTGGATTGGCTGTCGCGCGATTTTGTACGCACCTGAAAACAAAACACATATAAATAACCGAACTCCACATTAAAAAATCTAGATCTTGTGCAATTTCAGCGATGCGTTAGGTCCTCAGATTTTCTTTGTAATTAAGCGCAATTTTATCGAAACGTAGCGCTCGAAAAGCCTACTGAAGCTCCGTACGATACTCACAGTGACACACTTTGGATTGAGGCCAATGAGTTTGCCAATGTCGATGAGAGCGTGATCACCGGTCGGTGAATCAACATCGGTGACCTTCTTCCCATCGGCGTACACCGCGTATCCGGTGACGGGGCCGGAGGCCGGAGGGCGCAGTACGGGCTGCCAGGTCACAAGGAGCGTCCCGTCCTGGGGCCCCGCTTCCACCTGCGACACCGCACCAATCACCACCAACAATCCAGCCAAAATTACTAAGGCCAATCAGTTTAAACAATTCAAAAGTGTGACCGGTATTGGATATATCAAAAGATCACATCGGGGATGAATCGACGTCACAAAGGTGGGATAGGCAAAAAATTGTTAAGGTGAGCATCTCTATGAGCGGTTAAAAATTTGTCCTAGCGCTGGATTTATGGTTGCGATTGACGCGACTTGTTCGAGATTGTCGACCGTGCCGCGTGCTCGGAGGTTGTGGCATTACTTTAGGAATGGGGTTGCATGGTCCAGTGATAAAGTAAACGGATATACATAATTACTTATTATAACCATCACACACTTCGTGAGCGTTAGAAAGCTATCTTAAGTGCGTGCGCAATGAATGTAACTATCGATTGGGTTCAGGAAGCAGACATTAAATTTCTGAAAATCAAAGTATTTACATTGAGGGGATGACAAAAGTCATGTCGAATGATACGGATACACAAAAGTATAGTTTATTATATTAGCGAGCGGGGAATGTGATTAAAAAGTGTGAAAAGTTTGTTTAAAGCATGCTGAATCACCTCATGCTAGATCAATTAAGGAGATAAAAGTACCATGATCTCATTGGGAGGGTCCGGCAGGCCTTTTGGTAACGTTCGGAAGTCAGTGTACGCGCCGGGAGCTTCTTCTATTGGTATTCCTGGGGGGCCAGTTCTTAAGTGCTTCGCCCTCACAGTCACTCGATACTGAGTACTAGGCGAGAGGCCAGTGATCGTGTGACGATATATGCCCGGCTTTACTGTTCTGACCTGTAAATATATTCATTTTAGACTATTTTTAGATCATGTTTACTAACAGCATAATTGTTCGTTTCTTACTTCAACGTTATTGACGCAGACGACGTGTTGATGATTGGAGTTAGCTGGTAGCCAGGAGATGACGGCCTGTGAGCATGTGACGCCGCTGGCTCGGACGCAAGTCGGGCCCATATTGCCCGTGTCTCGACCTATTACCATGGTGCAAGCTGCGTCTCGCGACGTACGACGCGTAGCAGTCACCGAGCGTACGCTGATTCGATGTGGCTTCAAGAACAATGGAAATATTTTCAAATTAAATTCTCCGTCGAAGTCATTTTTTAGTGGCGCGATTTACAAATTCTCTAAACAACTGAACATTTGTAGCTCAGAAAGTGTTCACCACCAAAATATCAATTGATGCAGAAACAAACACAATCCAATTTATTTTTCAATCAATTTGCAACAAAGAAATCAAGAATAACATTTATAATGGCACTTACTCGGTTAGCATCTACGCCTTCGACCAAGGCGCGAGTGCGTTCGGACGCCTTAACGGTAGTTTTGAGGACGCCGTCGACGTACACGTGGTAACTTTCGATGTTAGCCTGCTGGACTCCCTCGGGCGCCGTCCAGCCGATGAGCACCGACTTGTTGAGCTGCCTCTCGAGCGTGAGCTGCCGCGGCGCGGGCACTAGCGACGAGAAAAACAGCTCGGCTGTTGAGGTCCGAGGGCAGATCGCAGGGAGTGCGGCCAGAGGCGAAGTGCGAAAACCAAGAAGCGTGCGCCGATGTCCGTTCGTTAGGAAAGGATGGATAGGACAGGACAAAGGATCAGCTATAAAACTATTTATCTATGTGTCTGCATATAGCTTCATTTAATCTTGATAATTGTGTAAGAACGTAATAAGAATAAAAACATGCAAATTTAAAGAAATTAGTAAATATCATATTATAGTTTCTAAGATTAGCGCGATAACGTTGATTAAGATCCAGCTACAATGTAAAAAATCTAGCGATGTTTAGTACTAATAAGATATTAATTTATCTAAGCATGAAACTAAATTTAGGAAAAACTAGGATATGTTTGAACTGTTGGATCAGTAAAGGATATTCACCGTTATCGTCGTCTTCGGGGCCTTCGCTGATGTCTGCCATTTCACTGAGGCGTGCCACGTCGCGGCTGAGGGACAGGTCGCTAATCGTAGTCGTAGTTGGCTCGTCTGAGTCTCGTAACGTTGATATCACCGCCTGGTATTTTGACTAATTATTGAAATAGAGCAATCTGGTTTTAAGCCAATATGATTCAAAATTAATGCTTCAATTGAAACCCCTATAAGCTAAATACTTTATAGGATTCTCAATATAAATCGATTCATAGATTTAATATACCTGATGAAATTCTAATAGATCGTCTCCGACCAGCCTTTGCACAAAGTTTGCGGGGACAAAGCCACGACGTCCATCAAGCATTTCAGCTTCAAGCACAGAAGCATTAGGGTCCGGGGGACCCCACACGATTAAGTAATCGCCAGCGTTAAGCGACAGTTCACCGTCAGCACTTTCGATACTAAAAAATTAACGTTCTATATATATTTTTTCTCTTCCATTATCATAATTTAACTTCTTCATATCGATTTTACTTTATGTACTTACTCGGGAGGGTCGTAAGAGAATCTTGCAATGTACACGCAGCAACGGCCTTTACCTGGAATGTCTAACATGTCAACTTGAGTCTCCACTGGCGCACCCCCATTCATAAAATGAGTATTGCGAACTGTAGAATAGTATGTTGGATAAAAATTGTATATTTCAAGCAAATTAATAAAAAGGTACACAAGTAATTTTTGTCATAATCTTACCATCAATATCCAGTCCAGTATTTGGCATCATTCTTGGTAATCCTCTTTGGTTTCGATCATGACTGAATCCAGAGTCTAAACCACCAAGTCTATCAGTTCCGAATTGGCTATCTAATCCTAAGTTCCACGTCGGTTGATGCGGTGTTACTGGAGTCGGTACCCTAACTATGTTCGAATTATTAGTCCCATATCTACCTAAACCAAGATCAATTTCGTCCAAGGGTTTCAACTTGATATTCATCGAGTTTCCAGGCAAGCCACCGGTTAGCAGTGGATTTGTGTAAGTACCAGCGCTAGTGCCATAAGCGCCGGTCCCGGTTAGACTAGTATTAAGAGCGCTGAGCTGAGTGCCGGTTGCTATATTTGATATATTTCCTATTCCTCCGGTAAGTGAAGATTGTAATCCCAATGTATGTGTGATCGCGCCGGGAAGTGACGTTGGAACGGTATTCAAGCCCGTCAGTCCTGACCCTGCCATCGTTCCTGTCAATGTTGGACCAGTGAGCGTACCACCTAAACTCATAGCAGAAACGTTACCAGTAATATTTTGAAGGTTACTCTGGAGACCAGCCAAAGTGCTAGATATTTGGCTGATACTGTTAACAAGGGGCGCGGTGACGGGATTGGTAAAGCTAACTTGATGTGTGTTTGACAAACCGTATGTATTAGTCGAGTACGAGGGTATAGGGTTAGAATAAGATGTAGGATTGTGTGCGCTCATGGAATATGCAACGGAATTGGAACTGGGTGCAGTGAACTGTCCGGTCGCGTGCAGAGAGGACAACGTGGGCATCGTATTGCTCTGACAAATGGCCACGTGGCCAGTCGTACTAGAGTACGAATGTGGCAACGGCGAAGGGGTCGGTGAATGAAACTCTCCAAGGGCTTGATTGGATCCGCTGGACTGCATACCTGAATCATATAAATTAAAAGATTATAAAATATAATTTCTTATGATCTCAAAATGTAATGTTTTTTTAGGTGAAAACAAGTTCGGTTACCGTGTGTAGTGGATCTTGTGTGGTCCAGCTCAGCAAGAATCCTGTTATCCTGCTCTATCTTGGCCATAATACGTTCTATCTCTGAGGCGGGCTGAGGGGCCGGCGCGGACCAGGTGGAGGAGGTGGCTCCTCGCGCACGCAGCGCTGATGACAGCTCCAGCTGCAGCTCCTCGCAACGAACCGTCTCCAACGCGGCCTACCAGTAACTTACATGTTGATATGTGAACCAAAAATGAACTGGGCTCTATAAGTGCTATATAATATACTACGGATAAACTACTTTGTCAGCTTGATGGAAAGTAAAATAAGATATCTCAAAATTCCTACGCATATTCATGTGATTGGATAGTGTTACTTATAATAAGAGATGGACAATGATAGATATAAATTTGTCCTTACCTTCTTTTCGAGCTCTCGTACACGGGACTGTAGCTGTTCTACGTTGTGCGCGTCGAGAGGCGAGCGCTGCGCATTCCGCAGCTGTGAGAGGGCGTCAGCGTGCGCGCGCTCAGCGTCTGCACGCGCGCGCTCCGCCTCGCGCAGCCGCCGCGACAGCGCGTCAGAATCCGCTACGCCCGATATACTACCGTAACCGCTCATCGTCTGTTCCAACACAACAGGTAACTATCAAACATTTTATAACGATTCATGATTTTTTTCACAATCAAATAAGAAACAAACGAAACCACTTTTAAATACACAAGAGACAGAATTCCCACACACTCGGGCTGATGTGTTAATGAATGCTGGAAAAAAATGCCGGACAATTCGATTATTAATACGTATCAAACTTGATATTATGTGCCGAAAATGAGAACCTAAATACACTAGACATTAGTTGCTGTACTTTTCTTGAAGTTGTTTACGTCGTAGCTGGAAGAAAACTCTATCGCCGGCTATTTGTTCCAATCCTTTGTCCCACAACAACTACAAATATCTTTATATGTTTGCATTGCAGCTCATTGTTTAAATATAGGACACTTCATAACCTATTTGTGCATACAGAATATGCCAGCAACATTTATATGCTTTGATTCCCGACTGGTATTTCACAAACCATAAGCAATAAAAAAAACAAAAGGCATAAAGTTTACATATTGTTTATATGCTAGGTCGTAGTGGAGTTGGAGTGTAATAAACATGAAGGTGTAATCTATGTATGAATAATTTATCGATTTTATGTCGATGTCGAGTCGTTCATGACTCGTCCTTCACGATATCGATTGACGTCATACGATAAAAGCTCATAGATACAGGATGGTTTGAAAAATTTATTCAAGATTTACGATAAGGTTACTTTTTAAAGCAAGTAATTCGAATTTTTATATGATAACTGTATTTTTAATAGAGTCAAAAAAAATCATATTATGATTGTTATTATAATAATTAGCAACTTATTTACATTAACATATTGAGGCCGTACAAGAATATCGCAGATACTTTTGTCTTTCGTCGCCAGTCTTCTGTCCATACATACAACGATACGGTTGACAAGAATATTCAAAATTTCAACTGTACTTTCTCCATCATCTTAAAAACAACTTTTCTTGCAGCGATGATTTTGACAAACAGGTAGCGAGCGACTGGCACCGGCAAAAAAAACAAAATGTCGGCGACGCGTGACTGTGCACGAACCTCTATGGCATTGTAAGTTAAGTCACTTAGAGAAAAAATCGACGGATACCGCAACTTTATAGCTATATTTACGAAGGGCTTAATAATCTTTTTATTGAAAAAATCTTGAAGCACATTTTCGGGGCACGTTTTAAACAAAAGAAAACTTTCTTCCAATGTATATTAGAAGTCATAAGTAGCCTGCGGAGGTGTATTTCAAACTGAAAGTTCATTGCAAAATCAAACGGTCACACAAACGAGAAGAAATTTCGTATCTACAAATAGAACTGTATATTATACAAGATATTTGTGACGTAGATAGACGTCTAGCCGAGTCCTTAGAGTGACGCCACACTGTCTGATGTTGTAATGTGTCTCTACACTAGATAGGGTTTTATTCAAATATAAAGTTACATTAGTAATATTACATATATCTCATACATTAAATAGTCAAAGCACGAAGTAGAAAGACTTTTACATAAGAATTGTGTAATCTAACCATATAAAGAAATCTATTTTATCTCTTTAATGAAGTAAATTTCTAAACGGAATTAAAGTACAGAAATATAAAAAATATTATATTAGGTAATAAAAATTCTTTTAAAATGCTTTAACCTGTTTCTAAAAAGAAAATAAAAATCTACACCACAATTATTCGTTTAATTCCTAAAAACTTACCCTCCATCACTGAATTTGTTGTTTTAGATTTTGGGCAAGCTTTCTATTATTTTCCACACTATTTAACAAACTAAAAGTGCTCATAAGTTTTTCGCGTTTTCTCTGTAAAAACTTCACCGTCTGCTTATAGCAAGCCACGTTCAACCCTCATCAAAATGTGCATAGATTACAATAACAAAAACCAGTCAAATATGTCACCAGCGCAGAAGCGAACGCGTTCATTTTAAACGGGAACAAAAAAGTACCAACTATATCCATACTATTTTACTCTCGCAGCACTTTCAGAAAACAAAAAGCGTATATAAAAAACAAAACTCTAACATTTCCCACTGTTGTATCATGCTCTTTTACTTTTAACCGTGCCGTTGCAAATGGCCCGCGCAAACGTCACTTCGCGTCCGCCATACTCGAGCCTTTATGCCGCCGACTAGTCTCGCAAGACTAAAAAGTGCGCCGACCTCATTTGAGCGACATCCTTCCCCCTTCCACTTTTTCTCCCGTGATTTCTTTACCCCCTAAACCCAGGGCGTAGTCAGCCGGTCTGAAATATTTGGCAAGATCGCCAGACGATGTACGCAATACGGCTTTCAGACGTAACGCCTCGAAATGAATTAAGTTTCGTTTGGTTATGACTTAATCAACGTACGTCAGTAATTTTTAAATAATACTAGATATAATAAAGTGCTAGTTATTTCTTGATATATTTTTAATGATTTCCAGACTTATATTTTTAATGTCTTTTTTTATAATACATTAAAAAGGATTTAGTGAAAAACAATAAAATGGTAAAGAAATAATGAGTAAAATGTTAAGCAATAGATAAGTACTAAAGAGACATTCAAGTTTCTTAATATCTAAGTTTGTGAACCGTCGCAACATTTGGCAGTTATTGCTACGAATTTTTCGTAGCTCTTTTTTAAAAGTATTTGAAACTTAAAGCTCCTTTGGCTTATCGAAAATGCAATGCACGATTCCAATTTTATTTTAAAAACAATTATTAAACTTAAATTATGTATTGTTCTCGAAATTTAATAATATGCTCCACATCTCGGACTATTGATTTATGAGATTCGTAGCAGCCGAAAACTCTTGTAGAGGCGCGTAGAGGTGGCTACGATAAAGCTGTAAAAATATAATTTTGTGTTTAAAATTTAACTGATTTCTACTATATTTTTTGCGAATACGCATTGCCGACTGATTAGTAATTTTTTTTAAGAGATGGTACGAAGATGGGAAATCGTAAAGGTCTGGTACAACTTAATACAAGCAAATAAAATTCACTAATTTGGAATCTTTTACTCTTTTACTAAATAATTTAAAAAATATGATAACTATTAGAATAGTGTAGCACTAACAGAACTTCATTTTAATAATCATAAGCAGTTACCGCATCCACTAAATATTTATCTAAGCGGCAAGTGGTTTGTTAAAACTTTCAAGAGACCACCTGACTCGAATAGAAATGTAAAATATACGAGAGTCCACTTAAAAAAAATAATTTGCATAAATTCACAAAAAAATCCCTCGTAATCTTTTTCATAATGACTCTATGGTACTTTCTACGCAAATTAATTTGAACCATTGACTAAAAAGGATATTTTAAAAAAGGATTTTACAAGACATTGTAGTCCTAAGCTTAAAAACTTAAACGGTGGTTGAATTACATTTTAACCTAAACATATGTTAACCCTTTTATCGCACGCTGTAATTAAACATTACGGGATATTACGATTATTGAAATATGATAATGAAATCTATATAAAAATACACTTTTATAGCCATTTCGATGTTCATAATATCAATCACTGGCGATTAAAGGGTTAGAACACGTGCTTAACAAAGCAGTGTCTAACTGTGTTAAGTAATATAGTGTATATTTAAGCCTCGTAATAAAATTTAAATACCAATATTCTTTTTAAAATAAGAGTTATTAAAAGTCAACGATTTAACGACACTTTCAATTGAATAATAAGTGATACCTCCATCAAATATATTCAATGTAGAATTTATGAATAAATCGACAGACAGAATGAACTGAAAAATCGTATAACTCAATAAAAACCAGGCAATCTCTTCCCTTCCTTCCACTTAACTACCACTTACGTCCGGTGTAAAACGACACGATTTCTTTAGATAACATTTATATTAAGTATTAACCATGACTGTTTTTATTTTTTTGAAATAAAGAAAGATTATTTACTATACAATTGTTGATACACTATAAATTATCATAAAGCCTCTTCCGATATTCCCAGTATAACAAAATTAAATGAAAGATGTAAAAAAAGACGTTGCAGATACTGTTATGGGCTGCTTAAGTAGCTCGATAGCACATCGACCTGATAAACTTGAGCCAGAGGCACGTGCCAAGAAGCGATGGGGCGGCGGGCGGCGTGTAAGCTTACTGTATGCCCAGATTAAATTAATGCCAATATCTATGTAATGCCAACATTTTATACGTATTACAGAGAAAATAAAGAATGTACGAGTATACCGCATAAGAAGACAAGATATAGGCGACACTTAATTTCGTGTACGTAACTTAACTTCTTAGAGAGTCGGTGGCTCTGGGGTCAAGCACTTGACTTCCAATCTGTAAATCCTGGGATCGAATCCCGCCATGTACCAATGTGTTTTTCGATTTACATATGTACATTTATCCGATGTTCTTACGGTGAAGGAAAACATTGTGTTGCAACCTGCACATATCTGAGAAGAAATTTAATGATATGTGTGAAGTCAACCAATCCGCACTGGGTCAGCTTGGTTGACTATGGCCTAGTCGCCCGTGACTTTAGGTAGGCTCCGAGCTCCTCAGTGGGGATGAATTTAACTTCTATTAATTTGCATTTAGCAGGAACTCGTCTAATATTTAACTGTTTTAGTCTTTATCCAAGGAACATTAATTGAAACATTGTACAGCTTAGTTCCAACCGAAAGATCTCAGAAGACCTGACCTTTAAACTTTTTTGCTGTGACATTAAACGCAAATTGTAGCATCAAACTAGTCGCAATGACAAGTCCGCTTGCGCATCACTTAGCCTTTGTACTCGTAGATGGCATTCCGTAAAATGAATAGAAATTTATTAAAACATGACATTTAAATGTAGCATTTTCTTTCAATGCTGTATGTTACGTATTTTAGTGTAAAATAATACGAGTAGAACTGCTTCATATACATAAGAATACAACACATTTTGAAAGCAATTAAATAAGTCTTTGGAAAAATTTACTATACTTTTGAATTTGGAATCAATAAGACAAATGATCCATTAAACTCATTAGTAAAGCTCTCATCAGGTTAGAAACCTTCAAACGATCATCGAAAAATATTTCCGTAGCAAATGCTTTAGGTAAGACGTTCAATTCTTTAGAGCGTCTAGACGGGACGTCGTTATTCCAATGACGAAGGTTTGAAATGAGAGGCCCGCGATTGCTCGCTCTTCATATTACAACTGAATCAATCAATCACTATTCTGACATCAAAAGGTATGATGTAAACGATGATGAACCGTATAGAACAGATTTTACTAATGCATTTCAAATTAATACTAATTTTAACAACATTTTGTCGTTCAAAATATCTTAACAATCAAAACAGACAAGAAAAATGGTACATATTAGTAATTTAATCATTAATTGCTAACATAGAAATTAAATTATCGCAGAAGTCTCTTAGACATTTGCCAACATAATAATAAAGCAGATGTCTTGGCTAGCTTTTATTAGACTAAGAAGTTAAGCTGAAAAAGGATATTTCGCTTTCCGATTTTTCCCTTTCCCTTCCCATCCTTTCCTAATGAAGGAAGGGTGGAGGACTAGATTTGTCCGCAATCACAATCCTCAGACAAAGCGCGGAAATACACCGACAAGACGCGTGGGCGAGCGGAACGGCACATTCTTGCTAGCTAATGCTGTTGTGGACTCTACCACTTAATGCTTATAAGAGGATGACGTAAAAAAAATAATTTAACGATATCATAAATTCTGATAACTTGTCTGAACTCGTACATTTTTATTAGTATTTGTTGCTGCAAAACTTTTACAGCGTATAAGCTTTATATTATACCGAGTTTATCATAAAATGTAGGGACTCAGTGCGGCTGCTTATTACTGCCCTTTTCTTTAAGAACAATTGCTTTATTCTGAGCATATTTTCTACGTTTAATTAACTCCTACTACTAACTTATCATCTAAGCTGTGTTTTCATTTAAAAGTTCTAGAAAAACTTTATGGTTTTGAAATATCGATTTAAATACAAAGTTAACCAAATGATTACCGCTGTTAAACTGTCATTAAAATAATATAACGGTAAACTATAATACATTTTTATTTAAGCTTCTTAAGTGCGTGGTTAACTATGGTCTAGTCACTCCTAATTTGGGTTAGCTCCGAGCCCCTCTGTGGAGATGTGTAGCTAAGCTTGCAATGCTACTTACAAATATACAGCTGAATAAACACAGGAATAATCTGTCATGGCCAAGCAATAAAAATTTGTAAGTTAAAACAACGCCAAAAAATTTTTTTTTTACATTTACTTCCTTAAAAAATGCACGCTGTGTACATTGTTTAACGGTGTTACGATTATAATCCTAATCAAATATCCCCATTGCGTTGGTAAATTCATACATAAGTTAAATACGCTTTATATGTGCGGGCCAGGATTTTATTTAAGAGCGCCAAACGCGCAGCTTTTTGGCAACGGCTCGCGTGCTCGCCTGCCTACCTACTAAATATTACAATAACTTGATATCCAAGCCAAGCCAAGTACAACGACCGAATTTGGAAACCTTCTTTCTGTTGTAATTTGGTCGGTATTGTTGAACAAATATTTTTGTCATAGAATATTTTTCGCCTGACTGAAGGGTTATGTTTTTGTACAGGAATGTATGCATATCGATTACTCTTTGTACTTTTTTATAAATAAATTAACCACTTTCGAAGAGTGTTTCCAGGACTGTCTAAAGTTTTCAATTGACTATTCAGTTATTTTGAATGAATAAAATGTTGACAATGTACTTACAAATAAGTCCGGTAACTATAAGTCACGTGTCATTTCCATTCAAACCGAATATAATTAACAGTAATAAAAAGTTGTAACGAGTAAATAACATTAATAAATAATACGGAGAGAGACAGACAGACAGAGACTCCACTTCGAAATACAATATAATAAAAGTCATTCATCATCAATCAAGAATAATTGAGTATAGTTAAATAGAGATTAATGCTTGCGTCCATTTTAAATACTTATTTAATAATATACATGTGTACAAGTACTTATAAAAGGTCGTGAGATAGTGAGAGCGCAGCCTTATTCCATTTTCTTCTTACCCGCAAAGAGAGCAACTAATTTTAACTGAAATATGCTTTGTATCAACCTTTAATTATGTTTGGTATACAAATATTATGTTATAATATAATTTATCAATCTGTAACTCAATAAAACACTACAACATTCGTATAACCTACATTACTTTAAGTGAAGGCAAAGTACAGCATAATAAAATCGATATCTACTCTACGTTGTTTAAAAATGAGCTATGCACGTTGTACATTAAAGCTGTGTTTTGGCTAAACCTTTGTAGAAATGCACGTTAATAGAGCCTGTGAAGGACCCTCCACGGATACAGTTGACAAGCGCGCGGCTCGGCCATTATCACACAGTTTCGATAAGGCCACCATTAGTGCATAGTTTTGTCATTCGTGAGGCCATAGAGACTGTTTGGCAAAGTCCTAGTCACGGCGATCGATAATGTCCAGGTTCGAGCGTCAACACGGGTCGCTGCCACTGCCGATGCATTGTTTTGTCTAGAGCATTAATTAGTTTTACGTAGCGTGAAGCGAGTGTGTACTCACGCTAGTGGCGATCCGTCGAGTGGGTCACATCGGCTGGCCGCACCGGCCCGTTCGGTTTCGAAGAAGCACCTTCCGGCCACTCGATCTCCAACTTGCGTAACATTTATATAACGCACATAGTAGTACGGGTACGGTCAGAGACGCGCACGGGCGCCGCGATCGGCCCGACCTGCCATGTTGGATACGGTGCGACCGAGGGCGGCGTCGCGTCGACGCGCGTCTTCACAGCGCCAGAGTTTCGGTTTGAACGAGCGTCGGTGTAGAATACGGCACGGCGGCAAACGACTAGCTCGAAAGGAAAATAAAAAAAGTGTATATGGCGGAGCGGTCGGGCGGTCGGGCGGCAGTTAGAGACCCATGCCGCTCGATAGGCGGGCGCATGCGTGAGCGAGGCGCGCGTCACGTCGCCCCGCGCCACCGCTCGCCCGCCACCAGCCGTCTCTCAATGGAGCAGTCACACTCGACGCACGCACCGTCACTCCACTTCTATGCCGGCCATACTTCGACTCTTTCTAATTAATGGCCCTTTCGAGTGGAATCTCTTGTATGCCAGAGTGGCATATATGTCATACGATTGATTGCTTAAGACAAAATTCCTCACTAATATATTTTATATCTCAAATATCTTTTAAAATTATCTCTAAGAAATGAAAACAATAAATGGGACCTGATTTTTACGAACAATATACGAAAGTCATCTATTAATTTCAGACTTCTGGCAAAATTTCAGTTTATGACAGATGCTAAGTATGTGCTGATAATAGTAATGTTTGTCGGTTCTTAATTCTTACCAAGTAAACCGCACGGACCTTTTAAAGCTATTTAAAAACTTACGGTCTCTCTGCCTGATGTTGATAATCTCTCAATGATTATATCATTCCTCGATTCTTCGTTACTTCTTAGATTTCTTTCAACTTCATTATCCCGTTTGCAGGAATTTTCACTTGTAGATTTTGTAATATCAGTTAAAATGTCTTCTATCGAATCATCAGTTTGTACATAAACAGTTTTAATTTTAACAATATCCGCTTTCCAATCACTAGGTATAGTTTCTTTATCAGAGACATCGTTGATTTTTTTACCATTAAAAAATGTGGGTAAAATTAAATCTAAAAATTCGGAGCAATTTCTGAACGGAATGCAATTGAAACATTTCATGATGTTAACTGTATCGTCGCCTGCAATGCTTTTATTTCTGAACGAAGTATTATCATATATTATATATCCATTCTCATTGATTAAACCATTCTCTATATAGATAATTTAAATATGTTTATACTTCATGACCGAACCGAAATTTGCACATTTATCACAAAATCTCGTATATTAAAGAAAAAACCTTAAAACATCTTACATGTTTATAACATTAGATAAATTTATTTTAATTCAAAATCTCACCTAATAATTATAAAAATGTAATGGCCGCCATATGCAATTCATATTCACTTGTTTACCTATACCGGTGTTGGATTCGATTGAGAATGTTTTGTACCTTTTGCTTATTTCACTCTGTAGTTATTATATTTCAAGTTGAACACTCTTTCATTACACTTTATAGAACAAAACCAGGTCCACTAATACTAGTCTTTTTTATTTAATCATATTTAATTAATAATGCTGATAAGATCTCTTTATCTAGATATTGAAGCTTCGGAAATAATTACTGTCATTCTTTTTTATTGAATGTGACTTTATTAATGATATTATTGCCAGCTACCGATTGTTCATTGTTTTCTTCAAATATTTCGAAGTTCCAAATTCAAATTTCTATAGCTTAAATAATAAAGTAAAACAAAAAAAATGATAAAACATTTTATTAAAATATTTACAATAATATTCAATACAAAACAATAATTTGGTAATTTACATTGATTGCGAATAATACAAAAATATAACTTTGCATAATATAAATTGCTATTGACAGTTTGAGGCAATATAAACAATAGTGACCAGTACCACAAATTAAAAAAAACTTCATAATGCACTTATATCCAAAAAAAAATATTAAAAAAATAAAAAAATACTAGTATATTTATGGTGAAAGTACGTCCCATACAATATGTACTACAATTTTGTCACAACCGTATTACCCTTATGTTGCCATGTTGTAATCGTGGATTTGAAATAAACGTACAAAACATCGCTATCTCATTTTTTTTTAGAAAGAAGGAGAGAGATCTTTTGCGTATGAATGTTTTGTGCATAGAAAACCCTCGAAAAATGAAAGATTAAGTATAATCTTAAACTTTGAAACTGAGTACTTTTTAGCCTATCATTCATAAGTAAATTTAAATCCCACTTTTAACAATTATTTACAAAATTAATCAAATATAAAAATAGGAGTATTGAATACTTTTGGGAAAATTCACAAAATATATATTTACTTAAAAGCTATACAACAAACATAACAATATAACCTCCTGTATATCTAGTCTTTCTCCAGTAAAGAAGAAAATGGGCGACATTAGACGTATATTTATAAAAAAATATTGCTGTACCCCGTTATACTATCGTTCCTTAATATCAATCAAGCTAAAACTCTAATCATAATTATATCAGGCCACAATAAATTGCTCGGCGACTCCATTAAAAAAAAATTAATACGAAATGACCGATGTAATATTTATTTCAGAATTCCATGCAGTCAAAACTGGATTAGCACCAACAACTTTTCATTACCCTATTATATCGCTTTAGTATAAAATATATAAAAAGTATATTTTCTAAATATATTCGTATAACAACATATCCATTCAAATATCTAACATAGTTTTTTGGACTATACAATTTAGATAGATATTTACAATACCAAATAAGTTATTGGTTTAAGAAAAAAGAATTTTTGATAATTTGTGACGATGAAGTTTCATTGATAAAACGCGTGCAGTCAAAGAACTTCCTAGAAACTTTTATATGTAGGTTTAAAAATATATGCAAGCACGTATCTGTTCGAATGTTTTCTACCATGAATACATATTTTTGACGAAACAAAACACATATAGTTTGCTATCTTTTCTTCGAAGGTGGGCATTAAATCGTTTATCCGTCAATCGTTAATTAACGAAGTTAATAATGTGCTTAACGGATTAACTTTTAAGTTAACTTCACAAAGTGTTACAAATATAACTTATTTTCAACATAGAGAATGAGTGGGACGAGAAAATGTTTTTATAAACGTGTGCAGCAATGAAAACTCACCGTGAAATTGACAGTAAAATTTTTCTTTAAAAATTTATAACATAGCCAGCCAAACATTTACTATTTATGATTTAATTCTAAAAATTAACAAATCATCAATCAATATCAAGACTTTTAAAGCTGCTCGTAAAGCTGGCAAACATTCCCTTACTTGGCTTCTTAATTCTCTTCTTTTCATCAACCTTAAAGATCTCCGACTCTATCAACCATTCTCTATAGTTCTCTTCCATATTCCTTCTCTGTTCTTCATGTAATTGCTTCACCGGGGGAGCTGGGCCACCATAGTCTTCTGGCAAAAGTTCTTTATCAACAATCGCTTCTGGTCCTTCAGAAGTAAAGTTAAGAAGGTCTAGAAGATTGGAATGTATCAATGGTTTTATAAGATACATCACTTGGTTGATGAAAGACACAGTATGCACCACGTGGATCTTCTTCAATCGACAAGGATGAGCACTCTGGAAATTGTTAAGATGATAGTTAATATTCTCGTTTGAATTACATCTTGTATGAAATTCTTAAGAGTTATAAACGTCTAAATAACATAATAGTCAAGCTGATTTATGGTGCGTAAAATAAAAATCAAAAGATTATGGAAAACTTAAAATAAAAATAACTGAAGTAGAGAAAGTGAATCTACAAAAAGACGTCGCTCACACATACCTGAATGTAATGCATGAAAGCCCTCAAAGCGGGTAACGTGACTCTCGTTAGGTGTCCTAGATTGCAGCCCTTCATATCGAAGATCACTACGTAGCCTTCCGACAGCCGATCCTCGGACAACTTCACATCGTTAAACATGCAGAACACTCGCACCGCGTCCGCGAAATTCAACTTGCTGTAGTCTAGGTCTGATAACCGATACAGAAGGACGTGGTAACCTTCCTCCGTCTGCTTTGGTAGAGCCACCATATGCCTAGAATGTAAAACATTGAATATTTAATTATTTTAAGAGTAAAATACCAATTGTCATAGTAATGATGAAGTTTAAGAGACCACCTATGTAAGTGAAATAAGTTTTAAGAAAAGCTAAATAACACCGCATTTCTTGTGGATTATTATGTGCCTTGTAATCTAATCCTTCAACTCATTTGATTTATTAAAATTAAATATGTTTATGCACTTGACTATTATGATATAAAAGTTGTTTTTAAAAGGATTCCTGATGTAAAAAACTTTTTGAATGCTTTGATATTTAAAAAACATTTGATAATTTATTTCTTAATTTTAAATGTATGTAGATATTATCATTACACGTTCTAAGGAGTTAAAATGTTTAAAATAATACCGGTAGATATTATAAACAAACGAGACAGTATCTATTATAATAATAACAATGAGAAATTTAGTCACACGAAAATTCCCAAAACAAACATATTTTAGAAACAATAAAAATCACAAGGTAAAAATAATTTAATTTGTATTTTTAAGGTTTCTTTGGTATTGTAAACTAAAAATGGTAAAAAATATAATTCCCACTAGAACAAAGCACAGTGATTATGAATGCATGGAAAATCGAAATACTGATAAAGTTGACTGACTGTCGCACTCAGAGACGTTCAATGGAGAATTAGTATACCATAGAAGAGAGTGAAAGAGAAAGTCAATTTACAATAACACGAGTGCGTCAGAGACCTAAGTACCTAGCAGTATACTTTATACATTTAATTTTACCAGCTAATACACCAGTAATAGTACAGAAGCTATGCGTCCATTGATCGAATCTGCAGCAGTCGCACAATCTGGCAAACTTCCAAACGGCGTTAATACTCCCGTAGTAATAAAAACTATGTGGTGCGGCTGCATTATTCAACGCTTATTAATTTCGCTAACTTATAAAAAAGAAAAACGCACTAAGCATTCTTAAATAAAAAATAAGAATAAAGCAATTCAAAGTAAGAAATGAATGTAAAAGTGCACGGAAAAGTATGGGCTTTGAAAACATATTGGAACTAAATGTACATACAGAAGGCATAAATGGATCAAATATTTCAATTCATGATCAGTCAAATTATGTCTCTTTAACCCGACTGATTTAGGGAGGGTTTATGAAGGTTTGATTTATTTATAAAGATATAGGTTTTTATGTATGTCATTGTTTGTGACCGCCGGAAGCCTAAATGACTGGACTGACTGACTGATTTTGACGATCGATATTCCATTCGATTCGAATTCATCCCACGAGTGTCATAATTAGTTTTTTTGTTTTTAGTAACAAATTATGTTATTACACATAACATAACTTACGTGATATCCAGAATGGTTTTGTTCTTTGGCGATAGCGGATCCCGATTGCTGAAGAGGTCTGGTGTATTGTTGCGCAGCGTGAAGTAGCATTCAATTGTGTCTTTTGTCTCTTTCACTTTGAAGTAATTTGAGTGGAGAAACAATAACACGTACTCATCGGATATGTACGGCAAATGAGGTTGACTCTTCATCCTGGAATAAATACAAAAAAATAACCAAATAAGCAATAATAAACTATATTATCTTATCTATAACCTAATTATAATATGAACTTTAAACCTTATAATTAGCACAATTGTTTGGTTTTTACCGAGTTCCCACCGTCTTATCGTTTAAACAAAATCATTTTGCCCAAATAAAGACAGAAGTCTCAGTTTCCCATGCCCATAATATTGACTATATTTTATCATACTTCATACTAATATTATAAATGCGAATGTTTATGGATGTTTGCTTGAAGGTATCTTCAGAACGGCTGTCCGGATCTCGATTAAATTTGGCATACACATAGAACATAGTCTCGAAGGACACAGACTAATAATTATGTTTTTTTTTATTCCGCGCGAACGGAGTCTCGAGCGTCAGCTATAAATGTTATTTTACCTGTTCATTTTATAATCACTTTGTTGTAATTTACTAAAGCAAAATAATTGCTCATGTAACCGGTTGGTTACTGAGTTTTACCTGTTAGATAATAATCAATAAAACTTGATATATTCAAAGTTATATTCATACAAATTCTTTTACGTGTGCGAAAATACCACTCAGTAATACAATGCAATATACCTTTGTATTTAGTTACAATCGAATACTTCTAGAGTTTACAATAGACAGTTCAAATATGCAATTAAACTCAATATTTTAATGTTAAGGTCATAGAAGACAATTGTACAGCCCTACTCATAAATTGAACATTTCGCTGACAGCATTATATTGTGTAAGAGCGAACGTGTCCGATACGGAGAAAGTGACCGCGCTATGGAATGCCAATCGAAACCTCTGAATGTTATGTGCTCTGTGCACATGTGCTGTAGTTTCCGTTCCCGCGCAAATTTATCCTGGCTATCGGAAAAATATTACACAGATAGAACAAACAATCGTATTTAATTTCATTTTAGTAATTTATTAAGTATTTTAATTAAATAAATAACTTTTAAATAGCTTGTACTCCCAGATCACTTATTTCACAGACCCTTAACCACTAAAGACGATTAATATAAATTATTAATGTAACTAAATTTGCCTAAAGACAAAAGCTAAACCTGTAGTCATTATCCGATAAATCTGAACGTCAAACGTAATATACTTTTTTCACAGAATATTTAAAAATGTAGACATGTAAAAAATCAAGTATTATGTCTTTGAAAAAACGATAAGATGTAAGTATTCATGGAGTCGAAGGTTAAACTTTAGTGACTTCAACTATAATTATCACACAACATAACTATTAGTTGCAATGGTAACTACCACATGCATAGTCTTTATGGTCTATAATAAACATTTAAGGCAGTTAACCTATGGTTTTATTGTGGTTTACTCTTGAAACTGTACTAAAGACAAATTTCCCTTCCATTGATGACGAACACATCTTTTATTTTAATTATTATTTTAGTTAACATTCAAAGGATATTAGGTTACAATTTATAGTACCAGACTTTATTTGACAATAGCTGTCGCCTACGACTCCGTGTACGGAATTAAAAAAATATAATTTAACCTATATGTACCAGACATTCTATATGTATGCCAAATTTCATCGATATCCGTACAGCCATTTTGGAGATAGCTTTAAACAAACATCCATCCATCCATTTATCTAAACATTCGCAATTATAATATTAGTATGAAGTAAGATGGGTGGCAGAAGCAAACGTGACATTGTTCCCGGCATAGGAACTTATTTAAGAAAAAAAAAATTATCTTACCACTCCTTGATTTGCTGTATTTCTTCGTCGCGCCCTTCTACTATAGGCTTCAGTCCATTGAGGAAAGGATGTGAGTATTTTGTCGCCGCCATTTTTGCGCACCAGCGCTCTCTACAATCTAAAACATAAAAGAAATATAATATTTAATTAATTTATCATCTAACTCTGACCTGCCTACTGGGATATAGTCATTCATTTTACTTAAGAAATATAATTATTAAATCTCATAATTCGGAGTGAGTCTCCGATAGAGAGCTAATCAAATTGCAGTTAGCAAACTCGATTTATGTTGCAGTAGTAACGGCAGATAATGTATACTTAATATTATAAAGGGAAAAGATTTGTTTGTTTGTTTGTATTAAATGGTCTCTGAAACCGATTTGAAAAGTTATTTCACTATTGCATTACACTGTCCCGGATACAATAAGCAAATTTTTTTAAATTTCGCGCAAATGAAGTCGCTAGCAAATCATAATCGTATTATAAATCGTATAAAAAGTCAGTAAACTTTTGTGAAAGAATAAATTTTATCGCATAAATTCCTACATGAGAAAATATTTACAAATTAATTTGCAATTAACTTAAAAATGTAAGTGGTTAATTGCTGTGATGAAACCACATAACGTAGACGGACAATGATCTTAAATGTTACTCTAAGCAAATTATTCAGTATACGTAAGAAAAGGTCTTACATGTTTCTATGAAAAAACTCTTATAGTTTACGTTCAATGGTGTTAAAAATACAGAATTATTACCAAGACCAAAATGCTCCAGTTTTACTCGAATATATTATAAATAATTATAGAAAAAAAAAAATTATCGATTGGTAAATCATATCTTTTCTCGCAATAAATAGCATCATGTAAATTGAAAAATCGTACGAACGATGACAGGTACAAGCAACTAGTTTATTAAAATGGAGGACATTATATGACGCAATAGAAACATTAATAAATCTATTAGAGGTCACTGGATCAATTTAGCTATTATTTTTTATACAATAATGAGGCAAAAGATTTTATAGATATATTTATTTTTATTGTACATTGCATAGAAGGACATTATATTATAAAATAGTACAAAAAGACATGTAAACTGACAAACAGAATAGTACAAATAAAAAATATCTGAGACCTCTACCATACGATCTATTTTTAGTCGTTATGCTTCTACTGTAAGAAAAAAATAGCGCTGTTTAAAAATTAATATTGTTAGTACACAAAAACTCCGAGTTTGTACATAATGTAATGTGTAATGTAACACATTCACCGAAGCGCGACAACATGTTTGCTTTATTCACGTAACACGGAACACTTTCTTCCAACAATCGCTTGCTAATTACTCCGAAATACCGATACGCTCCACATAACTTATTAATATTAACAAACACGTTAACCTATTTGTGAATTAAATATGTTACTAATAACCTTATTTAAATAGGTTAAACTTTTGATTACAATTGGTTTCATTGTTAAAATATACGCATTTTTTATGCGTTCTTGACACTTTTTTGTTAAACAATACAATAAATTATTCCAGTTTTTGGAGGTTCATAAACGATAAATGACAAAATACAGACGAGAATTGATGTATGCCAATCGGTTCAGTAGTTCAAAATCAAACAGACGTCAAAATTCAGTCGAATATAAATACAATTGCTGTACTTTGAATTAGTTTTCTCTACAACTATAATAAGTATAATTTAGTGCATATTTTTCTCCGTGAAAATGTATTTAATATTTAGATTCTCAGGTATCAAAACGAAATTCATGTCTAGTTCATAGTTTACCCATTAAAAGCAAATCTTTTAGGTACTTTACTTTAATAAGGTAACTTTAAATTAACACGACAGACGATTACTGCAGAAAAATAAATATAAAAAAGTAATTGGTGTCGTAATTTCCCCTGGCCGCGTGGCTGGTAACACCACAGCTTCACTTTCTATACTAGAAAGTACCTCTCGAACAGAGAACGCTCGCTCGATGCAGAGATGCATATACCAAAAGAAAATGACTGATGTACTATACTATATGCGTAATGCTTATAATACTAAGAATAATCATCCTTCAATATAGTACAAGAGTCAATTATAAAAGACTTGAGAATAGTTTAGTTTTTATCCTTTGAGTAACATCCGTTAATACTTATTCACTAGGTAGCATTAATTTTTTTTTGAGGTTAATTACGATCCCCCAATATAACTGGGACTAAGAAACAAACATAAATAAATGACAGGTCTGTCACTCTTTCGATCACATCACCACTCATATCAGATAGGATCGTGGTAAAAATGTTCTTTCTTATTTAAGAAAGTTTGCAATTAAAATAGCATAATCGTGCCTCTTCTTTTCTCAATAATAAGAAACAAGCAGTCCCACTAATTACTAAACGGGTACTGGCCAACAATGGCATAAGCAAATGGGTCACCGATTAATGCATCTGAAAAAAAAATCATCGCAAAGATATCTACAGCACTCGATAAAGCTTTAACTTATGCAACTTATCGTTGTCTCTGTTTTTTGAAAAGAAAATGAACGGGATAGCTACATGTCATGCCAGTGAAAATCCAGTTTAACAATACAACATGTTTTGTATGTCATAGACACTACATGCGTGTACCGACAATATCTGATGTCAATTATTATCTCAGAGTCAGTAGGTTAAGGTTAATTGGAGTTAATATAGGACAAAAGCGCTCTGTAAACAAATCGAAACAGACGACAATCCGTGAACTGTAATGAACGATGTACCTTGTGTAAAATGTGAGAAGAAAGAGTGAAAAGATTTTAATTAATGTTTCGAATATAAACATAGATTAATAAAGACACACACACATCAATGTGAAACATAAAACCATTTTAGTAAAAACTTACTAAGGTAAATAAATATTTATATGCTTGAATAATGGTGTGATAAAACTAATAGTGGCGTTAACACTTGAAGTATTAAGTTACTGCTTCGTACGCAATAATTAATTTTAGATATATTCAGGTCATTGTCGATACTAATTTATTAATAATATTATTTTAATAATGTTATAAATATGACAGTTTGTATGGATGTTTGTTACTAAGTATTTCTGATATCGTATACGGATCTCGCCGAAATTTGGCATTAGATTTAAAACATCTGGATGAACACGTAAGCTACTAATAAAGTATTTTTTTTTAATTCAGCGGCGTCGATGTCGCGGGCGACAGCTAGTCATTTATATATTAAAATCCTATAATGCAATTCAGCTTGATTCAATATACTGACATACTTATTTTTATATTATACCTATATTTTCTACGTATATCTCTGAACTAGAAATTATCTATGGCATAGGCGTGAATAAGCCTACTTGTAAAATAAAGGTCACAATCATATAACACGAGTTGGGCCGAACCTACATAGGCTTTCCTTTTTTAATTATACTTTACACTAGCTGCAGCCCGCGATTCCGTCTAGGCCGTCGGAGGCCTAATTTAGTCCTCTTTCCATTCACATCCTTTTTTTTATAAGGAAAGGATGGGACGTGGAAGTGGACTTTCCGGATGAGAGGATGCATGAAACGGGAATATATTTTCTTTCTGTGCATCCTCTCCTCTGGTGATTAAAGGTAGGCAACACATATGCAATTGCGTATCTCTATGGGCAACGGTCATTTCGCTATTTCAGCGATTTCAGGTGGCCGTGTTTGACACCTTATGATAAAAAAAGTATTGTCGCATGGCGTGACCGCGGCTTATCACGTAACTGATAACGTATAAATGCTAACTACGTTATGATTATGTTCACGCGTACAATTTCTTATTCCTTTTCATTCATATGTACTTACATCGTTTTAGACATTATTAATTAGAATCCTTTGGCGCGAATGGCACGCTTTCATTACAAAGTCGTGTCAGAATGAATAGTGAGGGGACACAAACGTCGACATTTTAGTAAGACTAGTGTTGCGCCAGTACACTGGTACAGTGTCGGTTTTACTTCCTAACAGTACATAGTTAATTTTCTTTGTTGTTTTTGAATCTACTGTCTCTAGACCCACCTTCGTACGTATAGCAAAACCAATTTCATATTTCACTATATTGTGCTACAGTATTTTCGAAAATCTTTAACAAGTAATCAAAGTCAAAGCCTTAAAAAATGATACCGAAATGGACGAAAACCGTAGTTTTATACTAATGAAAAAAAAGAAAGTTTAAATGTTCAAAGTTCCTTATTAACAAAATTCAAAAACTTTTCGCTAATAATATTGTAATAATATACAAATATCGTTGCGAAAAACTGCAAGTAACACGCGAAAAAAATCCGACCCAAATCGAAACTAGTTGAATAATAAAGGAAATGTTTAATTTAAAAAAGAAATATTCGAATGTTTTCGATGGACACGCATCGAGACTGGTTGAGTAAATAATTCGTGCGGACGCAGCGCACGGCATCTAAGATTACGTAATGAATTTATGATTAATTTCTTACGGAATGTAGTCATTATACAAAGCTTAGTTACATTCATACATTATACAAGTCATGAAAAACTCGAAAGTGAAATTTCCTTTATTGCTGTTAACCAATTGAAACTAAATATGTTTGCTTGTAATGCGTCACTGCGCCAGTGGCGTTAGTGTTAAGCACCGGACTTTTAATTTACAGCTCCAGATTGAATCCTAGGTATATTATGATTTTCAATTTTTTAATTTCAAATTCACATTTATCCGACGTTCTTATGGTGAAGTTAAACATCGTGAGGCAACCTACACATATCTGCGAAGAAATTCAAAGACATGTGTGAAGTCAATCAATTCGTATTGTGTCACCGTGGTTACCTAAGGCTTATTGTCCCCTAATATAGAGTAGGTTTGACGGCAACTGGCTCGTTTTAAGGTTTAGATGCATTGATTAAATTTTAAATTTTAGTTTTTCATACGTAATGAACAAAAAGGGTTAACGCACCGTTCATAGGGTGAAAATTTAGAGTAAAAAAGACTAAATCGAAAGTTTAAAAGGTTAACACAATTAAACATAAAAGAAAATTCCGGAAAATTTCTTTTCAACATACATCGGCAAATAAACCAGCCATTAATAACTTTCTGTTAAGCTATATTTTTATTCTGTATTTTTTATAATGTGCCATCATTATTTATGTAAACTTAACTTCCAATATTTACTTTGTTAGCTAATTGTTCAAATAAACTAACTCTCACATTCCACGCTTGTAGTTTTTAGCTTTCTAATTCATTGATACGAAATATACCCAAAAAATATAAAAACAGTTAATTCCGCGCCCTCAAATGAACTTCGACGTTCTTCAAAAACCAGTTTACAATTCATACCTGTTATTTATTGCTCTTATATTGTACGTGATGATATTTTAATATTAGATGCCATTATAGATTTTAGAATGTTTGATATTTTACAAGTCAGAGTTGGCGACAGACAGACGGCCAGCCATAAAAATTAAGCCAAAGTATCAAATAAAGTTTATAAAACCTTGTGCGCGGATCCCACTTCAGTTAGGTAAGGACAGGGTAATGATGATGAGATTTGAAAAACTATTCTACCTTTATATATAAGAATAGTTTTTATTCGATTTTTACCTTTAATGTCTTTAGTTTGACAGAACTGTGTCTCATGATTATTGTAGGCGGTACTTAGTTTTAGTTTCAAATAGATGTGATACTTAGGTACCTTTAAAATCACAAATGTGGAGGAGAATAGCCTAACCATTTCTATCTTATAATTAGTATTTTGGGTTATATATAAAAATCTTAACAAAAATCAAAGTATTCCTGTAACTTAAAAAAATATATTTTTTGCTTATTATCGTGTTGGCTTTTGAAAGCAATTTTAACTTAACCTAACAAGATATTCAATGTAATTTGATTCCTTAAAAAAACAACACGCAGCAAAAAAAATACAGATTTAAAAATTTAAATTTGCTTGTTACTGCTATTTAAAGTAGACGATAAACGTAAAGGGTGTATTTAAAATATGTTATTGTAATAAATCTAATTTTTTTTAGTTTTTTAATACAATTTTTAATCATGGAAGAAATAGTATTCGCAAAACTTTTGCAAAGTTTACACCTTTCTATATCAACATAACCTAACGGTAATATTTTATTTGCCAACAAGCAACATAAGAAGAATTCTGTTAACCGCATAACTAATCATAGAAAAATATATTTATGCTCACTTGAATTATATTCCTTTTTGTTGAAGACAAATCAAATTCCAAAAAGCGATATAAGTAACGTACACACACGTTATTAAAGCGACGTCTACACTCACTGACACACAAACGCCGACTGGCTGAATGAATCCACAACCTTGTACAACTTAAAGCCGGAATAAAAAAAAAGTATGAACTTTCTAAATTCGAATTCGCTGATCCGACAACAGGTGGACGGTGGACCAGACAGTCGGTCGCGAGTACGGAACTAATACTGAAAGCAAAAATTGCCTGTCGACTTTATAGAAAACGTTAAGTAATAAATTATTTGTTATTGTTTTTATAGACCTATATTCTTCCTGATCAGTATTGAATATACAAGACATAAGTAAAGTAAACTTATATGTAATATAATAATATAAGTGATCAATGATGCTAAAGGCTTTAAAAAACTACGATTATAAAGACAGAACTAGGAATCGAATTCAGATACCAGCTTGATCTGGCAAAGTAGCGATCTTTGCAGCGATTTTTTGAAGAGACAGGCAGAAAAAACACACTATTGCCTACTTCTTGGCTGGGAATACTATAATTCAAATTAGATTTATATTTTATTACACACTATTGATAGTTATTCAAAAATATATCGTTAAATCTAATAGTTACAAAACAATATTGCCAATGAAAACAATAAAATATTGTGCGCTAATAAAAGTTGAATAGTTTATGGTTATTGTTATTGGTTACACTTTGTTAAGGATGATATAAATCGATTTTATACGGTAGCAATGTTCTTTTTCTGGTTAACTATATTTTTAACAATATTACATACTTTTTATGTAAAATGTTCTATACCAAATTTAAGCGTTAACGAACGTAAGTAATTAATTTTTCAATTAAGAAAAAAATATATTTAAAGAATTATTAGTTAATAAGACATATTAAAAATCATTCAGTTCATAAAACAACCATAGTTTAATCAAGAATCCTTCCAAACCATTCAATTAACTTCATAAGAGAACGTCATTTATTCTATGTTGACCGACATTTGTAGCATTTTCTTAAACTTTGCTACCTTATATTGTAATATTATCTATTGTATGTTCACCAGTCGACAAAAAATTGATACAAAAAAAACGTCAAGACACTTTGGATATGTGTCGTATCTTCAACGAGGAAACAGCTCGTTTGGAACAATATAATAGCGCTAAAAAACTAAAAACAAATGAAGATCATTCAAAACAACACGTCAGATCCAAGAGGAACGTAGAATCTCTCAATCCAACTGTAAAAGTTGAAGATATACGACGTGTCGAAGGCATTGTAGACAAACTGTACGACGATATGGATGGTAACGGAAAAGTCACGTACAGACAAAGGCGGTTTGACAGTCCCACTACTGGCAAGGTAAAATATTATAAAGGTACACCAAATAATTCACTTTATATCATAAATCGAAAATATTTAATCACTACGCTTAAAGGTATATACAACTACCAAGACCTTTAAACATTTAGGGCAGGGGGTGGCTAGTCGATAGCCCAGGGGACTGAACTAAAAGGGACGACATAGGTCTGCGAATTACACAGTGTGGCATAACCCTGTTAATCCCTCCAAATGCGTGCTGAAATGGGGGCGCCGTACAAATCCCGCCCAGGGCACTAGTAGAGCTAAAACCCTTACAGCAGATATAAATCTTGAATTTCGAACATGTTATGACAAAAACACACTGTTCTGATTCAAATGTTACTCATCACGTCAATGGTAGAATGTAGTTACTTTTAATTTATAAAAACTAGACATTGGCCAGACTTATATTGAATATACAATCTAATTACGAATGAAAAATCCGTTCAACAATAACCTTGAACACATATCGATTAGACATTATCATTGGTAAAGTTTTTAATGTTAAAGTTTTTAAAAGTACACAGTATCACATTCACTATCGTTCTAAGTATGTTTGACGGTCACTAAGCAGTTCCCGGAAACACCTAAAGAGAGATGGTCAAAAAGAGTTGCGACCCTCAAGAATGAAAACATTATGTGCAGTGGGAGAGAAAAGGAAAACCGGTAGTGTAGACTTCTCAAACTAAATCTACACTAAGGATCTCCCATTGAAAATTCTGACTTTACGTTAGACTCTAAATGATGAATATCTGAATGATAGATAAAAATGTCAAAGGTTTTCTCTTACAGTCTTTATTGAACACGACTGCCAGACGATTTAATTTTGCACCAGCCGAGCTTTTGGGGCCACCCTCTAAACAAGACGGTCCGACAAATCATGATGAAGCTGAGAAGATGCCATGGCATAAAAAGTGGAAGCAAGGAATTGTACCATATTTTATCGATCCTAATACTTACGGTGGGTATAAATCATATAAATATTTTTACTAGTATTACAAAGAGAAAATATTTGTATTTTTGTATGTAACCATCAAACTCAAAAACTACTGGACCGATTTCCAAAATTCTCGTACCATTAGAAAGCTAAATTTGCGCGCGCGGACGAAGTCCCGATTGAAAGCTAGTGTTGCAAAAGATAAACAATTTGACCTTATTTGTTCATGTATTTGTAGTACATGTTTACTCGACATATTAACTTATGTACTAAGTGTCCTCACAAAAGATAGGAAAATTCTTTATGATTTACTCATCTTCTGTATTTTCCTGTTTATATTATAGTTAATATTTCCAGATTCCCAATTATCCGAAACGATTATCAAAGCGTTTGATTACTTCGAGAAAGCGTCATGCATACGACTGCAGCGTCTCCGTGAGAGACCAACGGACAAACTGTCGCTACAGAATGTTGAGTGGTTGTATATTAGTAACCCGTATGGTATTAAACAATGCGTTCACAGTAATGAGCGTAAAGTGAATAGCGGAGTTCAGGTGAATAGGTTTTTTTTAAATAATTTATAAAAAAATAAAGACATGGTCCAGATTAAACAGACTTTGTTGCTGTGTCGTATTCAATTGAATTTATGTTGACGGTTCAATGTATTTATTGGCTTTAAAATAAATGGAAGAACTGATTTACGGTATACGAATAAGCCAGTCTTTAAGATTGAGCGATTAAATTACTTAGCTTTTCAATTTCTTTGAACTGAAAGCTCCAGAAACTTCCTATTGCTTTAGATAGCAGATTATGGTTTAAATCTAAGGAATCGATTGACTTCTTATATTTTACAGATGGTAGTTTTCGGTTACGATTGTTTATCACTTGGGGAAATAGTACATGAAGTGATGCATATCCTGGGATATTCTCACGAGCACACAAGGCCGGATAGAGATCAGTACATTACTATTATGTGGGATAATATTAAGCCAGGTAAAGATATGAAAAGGAAATTCGCCGTGAAATAATACTTGATTATTAGACTTAGCTTGCCCTCCAATTATTGATATTCTTAATGCTACAGGTTATAAGAAATATTTTACAACACGAGCTGACGACCCTCTGTTGACTCTTTCCTACGATTATGCTAGTGTTCTTCATTACCCCTCCCGAGCATTCTCAAGAAATGGACAAGCAACAGTTGTTACTAACGTAAAATTATTGTTCCTTTTACTACATATTTGATTTTTTATTTCATAACTAGGTGTCACCCGCGACTTCGTCCGGTCGGAATAAAAAAAAAACTAGTAGCCTATTTGTTCTTCCAGACTATGATATTCTATATGTATGCCAAATTTCATCGAGATCCGTTCAGCTGTTCTGGAGATACTTTAAATCAAAGATCCATCCATCCTACCAACATGAGACCCACATCGTTGAGTATTGGAAAATTTGAATCAAATGTAATTATCAACTCATATTCTTAGAAAGTAAATTAATATTTAACAGTTGTATATTACAGAGTAATATAAAAATCGGTCAACGTGACGGACTTAGCGAAACTGATATTGAAAAAATTGGTATGGTATACGGTCACGAATGTGTTGAAAGAAATCGACAATATCTTCTGAAAACTTGTCCAAGCGTAGTAAAAGTTAGTGGTCAATCAAAAACAGCAACGCAAGATGAAATTGAAAAATACTTCGAAGACAGACTGTGGCCGTATGGAATAATTCATTACAAAATGAGAGATAAACTAGAATTCTGTAAGTACCACAATCCAAAAAATATGTGTATTGGTCATAAGAACTTTGACTAACGATTAATTTAAATGAATTACTTTGTTTTGTAGCTGCCGAAGAGAGAGAAAATATCAAAGCTGTTATTCGTCATATAGAAAAAGAAACATGCATACAATTCCGGGAACTTCAAGATAATGATGAGCCTAAACAAACGACGGCAGCAAATCAAAATGATATAGATAATGGAAACAATAATACAAGCCCTATAATGTACAGTTTCAGACCTACACCTGAAATAAGTGATAACGAAATTAAAGACAATGATGAAACAACAACAAAACCAATAAGCACCAAAGTGGAAGACAAAGAAGATTTAAGTACATAGTTTATTAAACTTACAATGGAAGTGTTCCATATATCCATCTTCCTAACGTGAGAAATTCTTACAGCTTCAACAACACAACCTAGCGATGTAGTGATTGAAATAAGTACTCTGCCTACATCTCGACGACATGCAGCAAATCTTTTGATATTATCACGATCATCTGAACCTGGTTGTCATTGCCCATCACCTGGGAGGCCAAACGGCAATAAAGTATTTATAAACATTTACTTATTGCAAATATCAATAATGTTTATTACGCTAAAGTTACACAAATATTTGTGGAACATTACTGCACAGTTATCAAGGTGTTAATGCAAAACAGATTAATGTCTCTGGATTGTTACTTTATACTTAAATATTAAACTGAGTGAATGCTTTTAGTTTTACTTGGGAAAATTTGCAGGATTTGAAAATCAACGCGGACTGTTTTAATTCAGTTAACGAACTTCTTCATTTGTTCGTCCACGTGCTAGGCCTGGATCACCAGCACAATATGCACGACCGAGACTCATTCATACACATTGTCTGGAGTAATCTGACTGAAGGTAAATTTAAAACTTTTGAATATACATATCTTCTAGTACGCCTGATTACACATAGGATTCCCCAATGTGTAAGTTAAATAAAATTAACTCAAATCAAAAGTCACTAAACCAATGACCATATGAAAACTCTTTTTAGAAATAGAACAAGAAATGCAGCAAAAGCTACCTCCTGCCGCCGCGGCGGGTTTCCCCTACGACTATCTCAGCGTAATGCATTACCCTTGGCTGCACATCAAAAATGGTGTCACAAGTATTATGTATCCCATTTGGGTATGTATAAATTAAACTCTTTAGAAACCATCAGTATAGACTGCAATTCAAATTAGTAGCGCTTTAACACTTACTGTAACGGTTTTAGGTCTATAGGCGTACTTAGTGAGATTTCTAAAGCTCCCTCTTTCCTACCACGCCTTTGATATGAATATGAATATGTAATTCAATTAAACTTTAAATTACAGAATGATGGTTGGTCAATGGGACATTGGCAAGGACTGAGTGCAACAGATGTTCGAAAATTAAATCTTATATACGCTGCACAATGCTCTCAACGTAAGGAATACGAAAACGGGAGTGATGATGATAACAGATAAAAATGTTTATCGCAATTTATTCTTCCCTTATAACTTAACAAAAAATAGAATAAACGCCAATTCATGATTGCATTATCCTTTTAAATACTTTTTACTTCTAATAACAAAATGGAAAAGATTTGATTTAAATCTTACTAATATTACAAATGCTTATGTTATGATGGATGGATCGATGTTTGTAAGAAGATATCTATATAAATTTGGTATAGATGTAGAGCATAGACTGGAAGAACACATAGGCTATTATTATCTTTTATTCCGCGCAGACGGAGTCGCAGTCGATAGTTAATGGTAAATAAATAAAACAACGTATTAATTACATTAAAATTATTTTTCACTCGACCTGAACACTGTTTCTTCACCAGTTCTTTACTCTTTTATATTCACCTCCAAGTTTTTCGGTTGTATTTTCAAAAACATGTAGACTAAGTGTATCATTATTTTTAGTAGTTAAGCTATCGTCGGGATTATTTTCTTCTTCTTCTTCTTTACTATTTTGGTCGTTATTTTCAATGCTATTAGTATTATTTCCACTAACATTACTGTCGTCTTCACTTAAAGCTTGACCTTCAGATGGTATATGTATTTTTTCCTTATTCATATCTTCATATAGGACCTTTTTACAAATATCTAACAAATCGTCAACGTTACGTTTATTACATTCATGACCAAAACGCAATTTGAGTTTCATTTTGTCCAACTGTGATAAACTATCCGAAGGTGTTATTACTAATCCAGCTATCTGTAAATAAAATAATGCATGCAAGATATTTTATTCCTTGCTTTGATTTAATTCTGTAATTAAGTAAATAATGGCAGGTCAAATTTCATAGATGGCGCCCATATTGATATTTGATTTTTGTGGAAATTTAAAATACAGTGAAGTGATATTGTTAAGTAAGGATAGCTAAGCGAATTTACAAGTTTAAGCGTAAATTGTTATTTGTCTAGGGCTGAAGGTTTGCATTGGAATCTGGTATACATATGTCTGATCAAGTCTATATAGACTTGATCAGTCCCTTGTCTAGTCGTGGGTGTAGATTTTATCCGTCATATAATAAAATGTATCGGCAGAGGAGCTTTTTTATAAAATATGGAAGTAAACGAGCAGCGGGAACATCCTGGTTTTCATCCACGCTGTTGGACATCTGCAATACCAAAGGAACCGCAGATGCATTAGGCTTTGAGAAGGTAATACGCTCGCTTCTTGGAAAACCTTTACACTTAGATTTAAAAAATAATGAACTAAAAAGTTCTTAATCATAACATTGCTATTTAAAATTCTTACCAAAGGCGCGATAGTTGCTTGACCGTTGGTGCTAAATGCTCTATCATGGAAGTGCATTACACTCATTGGGTCGTATTCGATCATATTTTTTGACATCTTAGCACGAGGTTGAATTTTGAAAAGATGTTGGTACGCTATAAAGAACACAAAAAGTTTTCTTAACCACAATATTAACGAGTTAGAAATTACACAAAACTTTTTCATTAGTACCTTAATCACTATGTTCAACATTTCGGGATCGAATCGAGCTACATGAGCTATATGACCCATGTTACCCACAATTTTTAAAAGAAATGCCAGCTTAGCCATGATACAGACGAAAAAAAGACTCAACATTAATTTTTTTTAAAAATATAATTACTATCGGGGAATCTCACAATGTGGTATTCCATCTTAAAAGCGACAATCGTTTGAACGTTTCACAAGCATTGAGACTAACGACGCGAAAACATTAAGCAATAAGAAGGCAGTTTTTAAATGTGTCTGACCGAAAAGCTGTCGAGCGGATTTAACGACAAATTCTTTGATACTATTATGCCGTAATTTGTGGAACTCATTGCTACCTAATGATTATTTTGTAAGAAGGGGCGCAGTTCGCCTCGTTGCGAGGAACAAGCCAATTTTTTAAGTGGAACACCGCGAAGAGCCCTTGCTGTACATAATCCCACATTCAAAAGCCACAATAAATTCAATTATATCTGAGCGTACGTCTGTCTTACAAAGATTGATAAATAATTTTAATTAACTTAGTTACCCGGCTGAATATTGCTCCACAATATTCTTATATACTGATCTCTCTGAGGATGTGACACCTCGTCTTTGAAACCAACGCCGTGCAAGAGCGTATGTAATATCTGTTGCTCAGAAAGGCAATCCAGTCCTAGAACTAAAACCTATACAAAAATACAAATAAAAGATTTTTTTACTCTTGCTTGAATTAAAGTTGCTAGTAGAGAGCAGTAGTACCCGTAGTTCGATTTGGCACGTCTAAAGCAAAGGTACTCTTTTGCCCAACGTGACAAGTCAAAATCCGGGTGTTGCCATAATTTCTTACCAGTTCACCATTTCCTTTATTTAGTGGTTCGTGCATACAGTGCCGTTGCAAGCGTGGGTTAGAAATATGTAACCACGATCCATTCCTGTTCGGTGTGCCAATGATTGGTATGAATTTGATACACGAAACACTCTCCAACAAATTCATTGTCATGCGAAGTCGCATGGCTATCCCATGATCTGATAATATGAAAAAAACAGTTTTATTCATTATTTTATAATTATTTTATTTTACTGATATTTAATATCCATTCCAAATTAGCTTGAAGCTTGAGCTGGAATAAGGCAACAACAGATGACTGGTGGGAATCAAACCCACAACCGCAGGATCTGCTGTACCCCTGACCATTAGGCCATCGACGCTTAGTTTATTACGTATTGTTTGTACGGGAAACTATGTAGTAAATAGTAAACTAAGTATGCAGGGTAGAAATAAGTACATAATCACCATAACTCTTGGAATCGAAATAATATGATATTATTCCATTGGGCCACGTGACTTCATTTTTCTCCTTTTCAGCATTTATTGAATTTGATTTTAAACAAGAAACAAAAACGTATATGCCAATAAAAAAAAATAATAATGTTCGCCTTACGCCCATTTTGTTTTACATAACATTGAAATAAACGAGTAAGCAAATCGATCAAATATGCAAAGATGGAAATCTATGTATTTTATTTTAATGTTATTACTTTGGTATTTTTAAAACTGTTTAGTAGTTAAAGTTTATTTATTTGGAAAAGAGATTGACACACGTATAAATAATAATACTGGTGTGTGTTACACGATAATATGTAATTTGAAGATGATAAATTGATCAAAATTAATAACATATAATTAGAAAAGTAGAAAAAAATTATCGTTTACAGGGAGTGTAAATATTCTTCAATTTAGAATTTCTTGAAAAAATCTTGTATTATAATTTGTTTACAGATCACAAGAAAAACAAAAAACCGAACACTATCGAATTGTCTTTACAATTTTTTATGGCTACTGAATTTCTCTCTATTATTACAATTACCCACTACCTCACGAACTCGAGATTGTAATACTTTTTTTTCCTTGTAAATGTAACAGAAAACGTAGCGCATTAATTTCAACCAATCAACAAGACCCACGGTTAGTGACATCGACGAATAAGAAAGCTTCAACGAAAACATTCCGTTTTACTACAATTTATCATTGTTTAAAATTATGATTTTTGCCATGAAATCAAAACGAAACAAAAGTAAAACACGGTTTTTATTTCATTATTATTGTGCTATTGAGTATTGCAAATTTTGCAGTCGAGTTGAGTTTGTGGTGCACAAAATTAAGGACTAACATTTTAACAATTTATAAAAGACCCAAGAAACTGAACGACAAATTAAGTTTTCATTCTTTGGAATGGAAAACAAAACATGCTTACGCCGGTGTCAATAAAACCGCGTCCTGTTATTGTCGGCTGATAATTTGAAACTGAATTTCATTAAGTATACTCGTTTGTGATAAGGAGAATACTGTTATATTCTAGAAAAAATTTTCTTGGGTTTCAGATCTCGAAAATGAAGCAGTGTTTATTATTTATATGGGCAATTTTCTCTGCAACCCTTGTTACTGAAGCTACAGCCGCTAGTGGTTCTGTTGAATTGGATGAGTATTCTTTTCATAAAGTTATCAATAAATTTGAAGCTTCCCTAGTAAAATTTGATGTAGCATTCCCCTATGGAGATAAACACGATGCATTCGTGGCGCTCGCTAAGGACTCTAAAGATGTTGAGGATCTTTTAGTGGCCGAAGTTGGAGTGAAAGATTATGGGGAAAAAGATAACGAAGAGCTCGCTAAGAAGTATGGTGCTACTAAGGACAATTTCCCGATAGTAAAGCTATTTGTTAAAGGCAAGAGTGAACCTATTCTATTTGACGACTCTAAGGGTTTCTCAGCCGACGAGCTGCGTCGCTTCGTCCGAGAAAAAACTGGGCTGTACTTGAGTTTACCTGGCTGTGTTAAGGAACTTGATAAGCTTGCTTCGAAATTCATGCAAGCTGGTAAGGACAAAAAGAAAGAAATATTAAAAGAGACAAAAGATGCTTTAGAGAAAATTCCAGAAAAGGTAAATGTTATGTTCAAGTTACAACTGTGGAATTACACATACACATTGTTGAAAAAATTACTTTAATATTTTTTTGTAATTTCTTTTAGGATGCAGTTGCTGGTAAAATCTACAAACTGATAATGGAAAAAAGTTTAGATAAGGGCGATGAATTTACTAAATTAGAAAATGAAAGAGTTAAGAAACTTTTAAGTGGTAAATTGTCTGAAGAAAAGAAGAAGGAATTGGGCATCAGACTTAACATTCTGCAATCTTTCCAACTGCTAGATAAGCAAAAATCTGTTGTGAAAGATGACTTGTGATTTTAGAAATACATTTGTTAGGCTATGCTGCTACTCGATTATTTCATCCTTTACTTGATCATACATTTTATGTATCATAGTATTTATGAATATTGAAAGAGATTTTAAAATGTTCACTGCCAACTACTCATCTAGTGATTTCACTTTGATAGAAAGAATTTATTGTTTTCCAACTTCAATTTTTAATATCAAAAAGGAGTATGATTAACTGTTGGTTAAATAATTGAAAAGTGGCATAGCAACAAAATTACCAAATTAAAAAAAAATGTTTAATGATCAGAGTGCTATTTATATGAAATGTGTTTTGTTTGTGCAGATTCATTCCATCCATTTATATTTTAATTTTATACACTATTTTAGGATAATTAAATGTACCAAAGGAAGTAAATGATTTATTTTATGACTAGTTTTGGGACTTGCATTTAAATTGAAACTATTTTGTGCTGTTGGCACTATGATGCAATGCTTATTGTTCTGTATGAAGGGTTCCAACACAAAATAAAATATGAAAAAAAGACATTTATTTCTATTATTTATTATGATATAAAACCACAAATAAAGTCTATTACAAAAGTATAGTATCTATATTTAAAGGTAATATTTTTATGATGTAACATTATGTTCTTGAGTCTCATTTAGCAAACTGAATTGAAAAATTTCAATGTACAATACAATACACAGATGCAATACCGTAATAGATCTGGTTTAGTCAAAGTGGAAGATATAGAAAAAAAATCAAATTCCTTAAAATAAAAACTCAAAGTTGTGCAGAAAAATAAAGTATGACATACTTATGACCAAATTATATAAAACAAATTGGTTTAGAATACATTATTGAACTTGTTGAAGGCCAATATTGATCCAACAAATTCAATAATAGGGAATGATTTGTTATAATTCCTATGGATAGAATGTTTTGAAAAATTAAGGCTTATTTTGCTCAATGTTATCACCAAAATCCACAAACTACCATTCTAATCACTTATCAAGTAAAAAAATAAGATTCTTGAAAAGTAAATGCAAAGACTTAATTTTCATAAAAAGAACCCAAAGAATAAAACCTATTTCAAGCAAGTCCAGATATCTGATTAAAACATATTCGTAGAATAGGATTTAAAATATGAAATTTAATATTATTTTAAAAGCAATCAATATTAATAACTCATCAACAGTAACAAGCAAAATCAAATTTATTACAAATCCACATGATATGCTATACTAACACTTATGTGTAATTATAAATGCACACTTAAAATAAGACATATGAACAATTATCAAATCCATTTTCTCGGGAATATTCCACAAACTATTTTCGATGCTGTCATTGTCACAGTTCTTGTCACAACTAATAAAAAATATTCATCAACATGTCAAAATGTTTGTAACAAATACACTTTTGTAATTTATTTCCTATGTTAAGTATGTCAACTTTAAAATTATTGGAATAAGAAGTTCATCAAAGTTATTCAACTTTTTCACCATCAACTTTAAGTTCCTTCAACTTTAGTACTACACCATCTTTTAAATCTAGATTTTCACTCTTGCTGTCTTCCTCAGGTGATCTATCCACAATCTTAGGTTCTGGAGTGTTGGTGTCTTCACTTCTTGTGATACTACTTTCATCATCGGAAGATTGATCTTGAGTGTACAAGCTGCATTTTGTCCTGACTATTTCTTGAGCCTCAGCAAATTTTGCCTTCCATAGCTCAGCATCTATAAAATTATATCATAAATTTGAAATATAATATAACAGTAGAGCATACATACAGATTTGTCTTTTTTTTTATTTGAGGTATAAAACATGCCAATAAATTAAATTCAATAGATAACACCTGAGAGAAGTAATTAGTAACCAAAATTAAATAATCAATTAGAAACTAACATCAACTGCACATTGTCAAATACTTACTCTGTGGATTTCCAAATTTTATTGCAAGCAACTCCTGTTTACAAGTTTCATCCGCATAATCAGCAAATACAGACCAGTTGAAAGCCTTATCAGATCCACAGTGTACATTCATCCTAATATCAGGTGTTATAAAGTGGTTAGCACACACTTTGTGTGTTTTGTCCCGTCTCATAACAACTCGGACAGTGTTATTAGATCTGTGCCTCAATAATTTTATATCTCCAGTGCCTCGTTCCTAAAAAGTATAAAGATATTAATTGTCACACCATAATTACATAGTGTAGACAAAAAAATAAGCGATTTTTAATATTTTGAATTAAACCAAAACTCATTGACAACCTAAATATGTGTTCTGGACAAAAGCTGTTATGATAATAATAAAATAAAAATTTACTATCTGTACCTTCCATTCGTGGTCACCAGTATCATATCTGTACAACCTCGCTCGTATCTTGACCAGCTCCTCTTCATCTTCCTCATTAGTATTAATGTCCACGAGAGGTAAAGATACAATTGGATCGAAGTGAGGGTCATGTTCTGGCGTCTCTGCTTCACCGGCCTCACTCTCGCTGTTGCGCCGCACGCTTTCTTCTTTCTGAACATAACAACAAATGTTAAAATTTAAATTTACATGTCAATTCTATATCTTTAGTACATTAAAAAGCAAATGTGAATTTACCAGCGAAGACATTGCAAAGCCACAAAGGAAAATTGTTTACTTTCTTTTTCTAATGCTTTTCAAAAATACAAATGTACAAAAGAAACAAACTTGGGTTAAGTTAACGAAGCACAGATTATTAAAAAAGCAATTAGCTTCAGTCTGTTTCTTGGGAATTGAAAAATTATCATAAATTATAAGCGTTAAGATTTAAAGAATCATAAGAATACTGATTTAGAATCAATTTGGGAAAGGAATTAACCGTTTAATATAGAATAGGCGTAATAACATAATTTTTGTAAGGTGGAAAAGAAAACATGTGGCTGAAAACCTTATAGCCTTTGCCTTATAAACCTTGACCTTAATAAATATTAGTTTATTGATTTACGATGAAATTGATTTATTTATATTTACAAATTATAATACATTTTTGCTTTATTGGTGTGCTTTTTCACCTGGGTAACGTTCACTTACGAGTCAAAGGATGTGCAATTTATAGTGTATTCTTAATACAATATCAAACTATCAATAGATGAAACATAAGATATTACAAACAATGCTTTGAAACTAAAAAAGTGATAGCTAGTCTAACTTTTCCGGTAAAAGTCAATGACCAACAGGATAAATTCATCTCGACCTATTTGCGTAAATAATTCTTTCTACTTTGCTAATGCTCTGGAAATAGTAGTATTTAGCTCGTTTTTTATGGTTGAATTTTTCTTTATTCTATTTACTACAAGAAGAACTGAACGTTGAAATGGTAAGTTCTTTTACATTTATTAAACAATAATTCGTAATTTTAAAATTATCGTGAAATTTTAATCACAATAATTGTGGTGCACTTGAAATATTTGCACATTTATAAATGCATAAATGTTGTCAGGCTGTAAAACATATAGTATGTACCTTATTTTTAATTTCTTTTCAGGCAGTCAACATGCAAAACATTGGAAAAATGATAACAGAACAGCTGCGGAATCCTAATGAATTAGATATCAACCTGAGAATGGAATTTGGTCCATTCGAGACTGTACATAAATGGAAACGTATGTCTGAGTGTTATGAGTTTGTTGGAGCCAGGTAATTAATATTTATATTTAAAGCACTCATCATTCAACCCACACTGGACTCTGGCTCAGGAAAATACCATGGCTACTTTGATTAATGATTTGTTATATTGCATTTATTATATACTACAATAGGGAAATAATTTTATATGACTACTGCTGAAACAATTTAGTAGAAACAATTTCTTTTCAGACGAAGCAAACATACAGCAGTGGCATATAAAGATGCTATATATGTTTTCGGTGGTGATAATGGGAAGTCCATGTTAAATGATCTGATTAGATTTGACATCAAAGAAATGTCCTGGACTAAGACAGGCTGTATGGGCACTCCTCCAGCACCAAGATATCATCATTCTGCTGTGGTAAGTATAAAATACAGTCAAACCAGGATAAGCGAGAAACTTCCTTAAGAATATTGCAGTCTTGTATAATAGTAGTTGTGAAGTAAGCTACATTCTGTAAAAGTCCTGACAAAATGGATCTAGCTGCATCGGAGATTACTTTGACCAAATGCGATTTTGCAAACAAACAGACAAACATTTATTTTAATAATAAGCAAATACATCATGATCATGAAATATGATTATTTTTTATACCACACTAGTTGTCGCCCGAGGCATGTGCGCGGAATTAAAACAAAATGTGTTAGTAGCTCATATGTTCATTTAGATTATTTTCTACATTTAAACCAAATATCATTAAGATCCATACAGTTGTACTGGACATACTTAGAAACATCCATTCATCCATCCAAATATTTGCATTTATAATATTAGTAAGATTTCAATTAATTGTATGTTTTTGTTTCTCAGGTCCACATGTCTTCTATGTTTGTGTTTGGGGGCTACACTGGAGATATACTTGCCAATTCAAACCTGACCAATAAAAATGACCTATTTGAATATAAGTTTCCTAGTGCTCAGTGGGTGCAGTGGAGATTTACTGGACCGTAAGTATTTAATTTTAAATTTATTAAGTCTCCTTTGCTTGAGATCAGAAGCTAAACTGCCATTTATATGATTTTACGGGGGAACAATGCAATATTTATTTAAATTTGAAACAAATACAATCAAAAAACCAAAGTTAAAAACAGTGATATAAAATTCACCCAAATCTAGATTAATGATGTGCCAAAAATTAAAAATATATTAGTTTACTGTCTGACAGCCATTAACCTAAATATGTATTTGGCTGGAAGTCAAAAATACTGTATTCCTTAGAAGATATTAAAAAAGAACAGATCATAAAACTTTATGTTGTGTTGTGGTCTTATTGTAAAAAAGTTTGGATATTAACGGTTATTGTTTTATGTAAAGTTTGAATATATCAATCAATAAATAGATGTAAAGTGTGGATATATTTATTGGATATAAGGGAGCCAGTGCCAAGGTCAGCGCACGGTGCGGCGGTGTACGACGACAAGCTTTGGATTTTCGCGGGCTACGACGGCAACGCACGACTCAATGATATGTGGACTGTTAACTTAGTTGTGAGTCTACAATTCATCGTTTTGTTTTTTTAATTTAAGAATGGATATCCAATGAAAGATCTCTGACCTCCAGTCACTTGTCTCACATTCATTCGGACCGAAAAAATATCAATGTCAAACTCGTAGCTTCAACGCTGGGTACTAACCGATGTTACGAGGTGGAATGTAACATGTTACATAGTGAGCATTCAGGCGGTCAGTATATACGTCAATCATTCGTCGGTATCCAGCTGAATATACACCATGCAAAGCCAAAGAGGTGGCAGCCCTAGTCAATACGTTATTCTGCCATGCGTATTAACGATAATAATAGTGTTACAGAAATGTGTTTGTATGTAGGGTGAAAATCGTCAATGGGAGCGCGTGGAGCAAAAGGGCCAGTGTCCGCCGACCTGTTGCAACTTCCCGGTGGCGGTGGCTCGCGGCAAGATGTACGTCTTCAGCGGACAGAGCGGTGCCAAGATCACCAATGCACTGTTCCAGTTCGATTTCGAAACACATACGTGAGTATTCTGTATTAATACATTGTCTTTGTGTTTTAACTTTTTCCTTTATAGAAAGCAATAAAGAAAGGTCAATATTTCTTCTTACAGATTGAATCTTATTTCACTTACTGGAAGATCAACATCTTAACTCTTGCCATTGTAAAGCGATTATAATTTTATACATCGGAAAAATGTTTCATGTTAACTGTGGGAGAAAAAATCAGCAAGCGTTTTATTTTAGCGTTTAAATTAACAAAGTGTTTCCAATGTTTATGTGATTTTTAATGTTTAGTTGGAGTCGTATCTGCACGGAGCACTTACTGCGCAGCGCGGGGCCTGCGCCAGCGCGACGTTACGGGCACACAATGTTGGCGCACAACCGACATTTATACGTGTTCGGCGGTGCAGCGGACAGCACCATGCCTTCAGACGTATACTGCTTCGACCTCGACACACAAATGTGGTACATACTTAATAGCTACTCACAGTGTGGTTACATCACTGATCTCTTTAGATGAATGACCTTGGAAAAGTCAGTTTTTGCTTTGTTCCGACTTAAACATGCTTGATGTTCCTAACAGTTAATTATATCTCTATAATTAGTTCGAATCCTCACCTCCGCAACAGTCAGCGCCAAAGAAGGCGTTAGGTTGTAAAACATAATCTATTTCGCGCTAGAGATGTGATATAGCCCTTAAATATAAGTAGCGTTACCTCTGAAGAAATTTTGCTCCGATCAAATGTAGATTGACTAGCAGAATTGGACATCGGAAGAATTTTTCTTGTATCATCGATGTGTAATGTATGAAAAAAAATGTAGTTCCCTTTATATTTGTCGTCTGCTACAAACATTCAGCGCGGTAAAATGTGAATTAGAAAGAGATAGAATTATATTCAAATCTATGTGTTAGAACAGGCAGTTCTAATGTTTCGCTTTTCATACATATTGACAAAGAATAGCGAAGTTTCCGCGATTGAAGGAGGTTTTAATGTATGAACATTTTCAGGGCAATGATCCAGCCGGCGCCGGAGTCCCAGATACCGTCGGGGCGGCTGTTCCACGCGGGCGCGGTGGTCGGTGATGCTATGTACATATTCGGTGGTACTGTGGATAATAATGTACGCAGCGGAGAGTTGTACCGCTTCCAGGTATTCATTATTTAGTTCCTCTTAATTCATATAAAATTAATTGGAGAGAGTAAATATTTGTATGTGACTGTACTCTTAAAAATGTTAAGTAATGTTACGCTTAACATATTAAACTATAGATCATATAAGTAATTTACAGGAAATTCTAAACATATATAGTTCTTTTTAAATATCTTGGCGGCTTAAGGTCATCTATCCCACATCTGCTACGTGATATTAAGACCCACCAAGATATCAGAAAACTACTATACTAATATACTCTGTAATATTCGGTTAAGCGGGCCAAACTATTAAATATACTTGACATACTCTATACCACTACATTTTATTGTAAATGAACTCGCCAGGTGAGTCAGCAGTGAGAGTGTTAACTGGTTGTAATTGTCAGTTGTCTAACTACCCGCGGTGCACGCTGCAAGAAGACCTGGGCCGCATCCTACGCTCGGAGCAGTTCTGCGACGTGCTGCTGCTGGTGGGCGAGGAGCCGGCCGCAGTACTCGCGCACCAGGCTCTGCTCGCCGCGCGCTCCACCTGCCTGCGCGACAAGATCATGTCAGTTTACACTGCACGACACTTCTATAGACAAAACTTTTTTATAACTCATGTAACTTAAACAACCAAAAAAATTGGACTGACTGTAGGTCAATGACCCTCGGGAGACAAATACGAATCGAATGACACCTCCTTCGACAAAATTGGTTCAGTAGTTTAGACTAAAGGCGGTCACACAAAATAAAATCGTTACTCACTTATATTGTCGTCTCGCTCATTCGCTTTAGAAAGACAGAGACAAAACTATTTAAGTACTTTCATGGAATATTTGTTATAGGGAAGCTCGTGAAGAATTGTCTGCGCGCGTCGCTGCTGGTGAAGCGAAGCCTCTGGAGCCGTACAACTACCAGGGCAAGCCGGACCTCGTCATACATCTGCCTGAAGCAAGACCTGACGCCTTCCGCATGGTCCTCACTTATATATACACTGATAGAATCGATCCCACTGAGAGATGTAAGTAGAATAAGCTATTATTTACTATAAATAATAAATGCTATAATATATAACTAGCTGTCTCCCACGACTTCTTCCTATGTGTTCTTGCAGACTGTTCTCCACATATGTCAAATTTCAGCGAGATCCATTCAGCTACTCTGTAGATAACATCCTATCAAGATTCATTCATCCGTTCAAACATACGCATTTACGTTTAGAATAATAGTAATAAACAATATTTTAATCAGTTTGGCCTACATCATCCAGGGATAGTGTACTTACTAACACAGTAAAAGAATTTTTCAAATCAGTTTAGTAGTTTTGGAGCCTATTCAATGCAAACATACAAAATCTTCTTTTATAATAGTAGTACCTGTCGCCCGCAACTCCGTCTGCGCGAAATTAAATAGATAGCCTTCTAATATGCTTGTGTGCATAACCTACTATTTGTTAGGGGGGGGTGGGGAGGAGTATCTGCCCCTCCCAAATCCTCCTACCGAATTCTCCTATCTGATTTTTAGAAAGAAAGTTGATGTTTTTGATATGTAATAAATACTAATTTCAGTTTCTTTATGTTTACTCAGTGATCGAGGAAAGGCCAGCATCCGATGATACAATCCAACTCGTAATGGAAGTGCTACGTCTGTCACTTCGGCTGAACATCCCTCGTCTGTGTGGCCTGTGTGCGAAGTTCCTGCGCGGCAACCTTTGTCTCGGGAACGTGCTGAAAGCGCTGCATGCAGCTCACGTGTCTAACTTGTGCTGCATCAAGGAGTATTGCTTACGGTTAGTAACTGTATACATTTTTTTTTATATCATAAGGTGGCAAACGAGCGAGCGGCCACCTGAAATCGCGGAATAGAATTCCACTTGACGCGTGTCTTCTGTGTGGTCGTGGTATTTCACCGGGCCGCGAGCCGGGACAAGTCGTGCGAAGATGTTAAAGCGGGCTCTACCAATAATATATATGTAGAAGGAGAGTTTGGACACACAAATGTGAAATGTATTAGAAGGTCACCAGGAGACCTTTTTTGTAGTACCTTCAGTGTTGTTATTTACTTAAGTAGTAAATTGAATATAAACCGTTTTTTTAATATTTTTTTCTTAACTTTTAGAAATATTTAATGTTATTTAGTGGTAACATTTTTAAAACACTAATTATTATTATTTTAATAATACAATTGTGTTTATTAAAAATGTTTGATTTAATTTGTTTTAGCAATGATTTAACAACAAAGCAAACATTTTAACCAATGTTTTACTTTTTACAATTTTACTTCTTCTTCTTCTTCTTCTTCTTCTTCTTCTTCTTCTTCTTCTTCTTCTTCTTCTTCTTCTTCTTCTTCTTCTTCTTCTTCTTCTTCTTCTTCTTCTTCTTCTTCTTCTTCTTCTTCTTCTTCTTCGCCGTGCTATATTTGACTCGTTCACATACCGGCACGAGTTGCCACCTCAAAGGTCTCATATCGACTGACATAGTGATTGCCATTCGTCGCTTTATATATCACAACGCTTTATATAACACAATTACTTTTTTTTTCTGCTATTTATTTCCGTACTCACGGTATTATCCTACTCGCCAATGTATTTTTAATTCTCAATTTGTTTTGAATTAACACAATTTGCATCAAACCATTATTCTAAAATTGTTCGTCGCGGATGACAGATATTAGGTACATACAATCAACATCAAATTTAAGTTTGTCATCATATATGCTAGTTTGGTCTCGTGGCCTTACCGTTCGTCGCCGTTTGTACGTAAGGTCGGCGGTTCAAATCCCAAGCCACTATTTTTTTTAATATTTAAGCTTTTTAATTTTAATATCGAAGCACATGTAATTAAACTCAATCGCCGTAGTTATTATGTACTTTTTGATATTGCCTTGGGCTAATGAATTTTACCGTTAAAGTAATGACAATCCACGCTCCGCCCACTCACTTCACCCCGCGATGGTCTGACCTAATAGTCGTTAACTTTATTTAAATTTCTTTCTACCCGACAGCGAAAATTATAAAATAAAAAAAAAATTGTCGAGTAAAATTTTACATTACCAAATTTTTACTGGTTATGAAAAAATAACCCTGTATAAATGATTGATAAAATGAAAAAAAAAGTAGCCTGAGATTCGAACCGGTAAACTTAAATACATATTACGGCAAACATACTAGAATACTGAGCCAAACTAGTATATACTGTGACAAGGCAAAATTTGATATTAGTTAAAAAACGTATCTGTCATATTCGGAGTGACAATTTTTATATTTAAGCGTTATGACAGGAGAAGAAAAATATTGGGTTGCCCAGTAAGTTCGTGCCGCTTTATAAGGAAAATTGAAACCCTGTTCTCTTAAATTTTTGGAAATGTTTTTAAATTATATTGGTCGTACCAACCTACTTCTTACCTCTATACCTAAAACGTCGTAATTTGGGCTAAAATTTTAAAAATTAGTTTTTATCTCAACCAATGAAATGAAATTATACTTACTATAGAAATTTTTGTGACGTTTGATAATGGTGGATATCCGAAAATGAATCCACTTCAGCTACAGTCTATTGTAAGCTTCCTATCGAAAATCAGAACGAACTTTCCGGACAACCTATAATGTTAATACAAAGTGTCAAATGAATGTAACAGAAGTAGTTTATTCCAAATTGTAACACAAGTATATAGAGATAAAGTTCAATTTTGTCAAATGTTACGATCTTTTTGCGCACCTTGACTGCTTCGTTACTTATGACGCTGCGGCTGCTACGATATTTATGGGCACCTTGCATGTACTCATATATTTGACGCTTTGTATGTACCGATGTATTTGAGCAGGGTGAATGTATCTATCAATTTGAGGACTTTTGTTGTACCGATATAATTGATTACTTTTGGTGTACCTATATATTTGCATATCTTGTCTGTTACGATCTATATGACGCTGACTGTACACTAAATGCTTTTCGAAAATCATCTTACGATTAAATGTTAAACTGGTAATCGACAAGATCTTATCATAGATTACATTTTACGATTCTGTAAACCTTTTTTCTCAGGTTCATAATAAAAGACTACAACTTCACTCCGATCGTAATGTCGAAGGAATTCGAGCAGATGGAGCGAAATCTGATGGTGGAGATAATCCGTCGCCGACAACAGCCGCTGCCGCTGAAGCCGCCAGCTATCGACGCCGCTGATGACGCACTAGGTGCATACACGACACTGTAATTCTCAAAATGGCATTTACTTAAATTTATTGCAAAACAAAAAGTAAATAAGACGTAAAATAAGAAAAAGAATTAAAATTTTAAGTTATATTTTATACTTATTGAAAATCAATATGTCCGACTCTCTACCATAAATATTATAATACCAAGATTACAATTAAATACTAGCTGTCGCCCGCGACTCTGTCCGCATTTAATTTAAAAAAACCAATAAGTACCCTATGTCTTCTTTCAGACTATGGTCTACATCCGTTGAGCCGTCCTGGAGATACCTTCTATCAAATATCCATCCATCCATCAGAACGGCTGTACGGATCTTACTGAAATTTCGCATAAATTTAGGACACTGCCTGGAGATACCACATAGACTAATAATTAAGTTTCTTTTATTATTGCGCGGATGGAGTCACGGAAGACAGCTAGCATTTAAATATTTATTTCTTAATGTGTTAACAGCAGGTACAACACTGGAGCAGGACCTGTGCATGTTCCTAACGGGCGGGGCGGAGCTGAGTGACGTCACGCTGCGAGTGGGCGGCGTGTCGCGCCCCGCCCACCGCTCCATACTGGCAGCACGCGCCGCCTACTTTGAGGCCATGTTCAGATCATTCTCACCAAGAAATAACATCGTCAATGTGAGTTAATTAGCCTATATATTCTTCTAGACTGTGTTCTATATCTATGCCAAATCTCAGTGAGATGCGGTTAGCTGTTCTGGAGACACCTAGAAACAAACATCCATGCACCTAAACTTTCGCATTAATAACATTAGTAAAATATACTTCCATCGTCGTAGTTTTGTATATCTCCCACACTTTTTGGTCTAATAGTAAGAATATTTAAAAATAATTATAGTTTTGCAATATGTCAAACAATGAGCACTTGCCAGTTAATAGTTCATTTTTATTTATTTGGAGGTTATGTTAGTTACAATTTTATTGGTTATTTTCTATCAGATACAAATCTGCGACTCTGTGCCGTCGGAACCAGCTTTCGACTCGTTACTGCGCTATATCTACTACGGCGAGACCAACATGCCCACTGAGGACTCCCTCTATCTGTTCCAAGCTCCCATATACTATGGTGAGTCTTACACAGAGAAACAGACACACTCAGAGACGTAAATGGTGACTAAGGGTGACCAGACCGGTAGAGTACAGATTCAAATTTCAAAATAAATATAAAGTAAGTTTGTCACTATGCAACAAATGCTGTTGTATAATTCTAATGTCTATTATTTAATTTAATATAACTGGCGCCAGCCAATAGAAATCTTTAGTAATTAGTTCTCGATGTCATGATGGCAGCACTGTCGCATTCTGTCATCTGACATCGATGCGTTCGGACGTGTGCATCTTTAAAGTTGTTATTATTCAGGTTTCACAAACAATCGCCTGCAAGTATTCTGCAAACACAATCTCCAAACAAATGTATCCCCGGACAATGTGCTCGCGATTCTTCAAGCGGCGGATCGTATGCACGCGACAGATATAAAGGAATACGCCCTCAAGATGATCGCACACCAGTTCGCTGTGGTGAGTCGCAATGTACGTATGTTCGTACTAACTGTGGGTGTGTGACCGCTTTTATACATACAAATTGTAGTAGGTAATTTTTTTAAAATACTAAATGATAGGAATTTATTAAGATGTGTCATATGTTGTAAACATATTTGTTCTGCAGCTTATAAACTAACATCATCTTTTAATTTATTCCGTGGATTCTGTGTGCTTTATGTTCGCTTTTTTATTTGGTTAATTTCTGGTGCATGGCGTTTATCTTCTATAGCAGTTAAGTTTGATGCATATTTTATATTGTTTTACAGTTGAAACTGGATAAGCGAGAGTCCAGGGGACCAGGATATTTCTCTTATAATTATCTTGTTTATAGAGGTTTCTCACTTATCCAGATTAGACTGTATTAGTCAAAAACAAATACTCATATAAAAAAATGTATGCTCTGGACAAATATTCTCTTAGCTATTATTTAAATATTGATATTTTATATCCAAACCTATCCATACAATTCTTCAGAAGACGTTAAGTAACATATAATTGTTTCACAGGTGGCTCGACAAGAAGCCATTAAAAATCTTGCTCAGCCATTACTAGTTGACATTGTGTTGACCTTAGCTGAAGAAGGTAAGTTTGATACTCCTACTCAGACCCAGCCAAGGTGTGCTATTGCACCCTCCACATCAGCTGAGCCCATCATCTAACCAAAAGGTGCGGGTAAACATCAAGTTTAGATTTTAAAATGTTTGATGTGTACAAAAATGTGTTTGACATGTCAAAGATGAAGAAAAAGATATTAATGAAAAGAGATCAAAGAACAAGTATGTGTAGAATGTATTGCGTTAACATTAAGGTATTATGACTTTCTTTAAAATTGACTAAAACATTCATACAACATATAGTTGGATATAAGAGAAGTAATATGTTGACAAAATCATTATGGTTCAATATTTTTGTGCCAAGCATTCATATGTTTTTTATGTTTGATACAAATAAAGGACTGTCCCTGCATTTATTATATAATTTTTATCATTGTTACATTAGTTGAAAACATTTGAATAATTGTAAATGCTTCTACACACAAATATTTACTTGTTCCTATTTATTATAATTGCTATATTATTTCTTAATGTTTAACATTTTAACTAAGTTTAGATAGTTTTACTAGATCTATGTAAATAAAATGTTAAGTTGAAAATTAACTATATCTTTTATTCAACATATTACTACATAATATGTTATTTAAAAATTCTAACATTTCATAAAACAGTAAAAAAGAAGTTAAGTAAAAGATGAAACTCTATTTCTTGGAGGATTTTCACCAGAATAAGATTTCTTAGAAATATGCAAGCAATATGAAACAGGTGAATAGTTGGAAGAATTAAAAAGTATTATATCTACTACTACTACTCCGCTGACGCATCAACCGAAAGTGAGTCTTGGCCTCCGACACAAGAGATCGCCAAAGTCACCTGTCTTGCAGCATATCTAAATTATGTAAAATAGAAAACTGAACTTCTTTGGTTTTTTAAGTGTACTAATTTTAAAAATATGTATATCTAGTCTCTATTAATAAGCAAATATTAAATTAAACAAATCTTTAGTTATTTAACATAATTTAATCAAAGATGTAACAATTATTCTAATAAATTATAATAAAGATGGTGATTGTACTTTATTCTTCATACTTGTGCTTGATGTCCTTCCACAGTTTCTAAAAGATAAAGAATACAAAATTAATGTTATTACATATAACAATTGTATTTAAAAAAGTAAGTACATCTATCCATGATTTTATTTTGTAAAAATTGTTATATAAATTCAATTACAACATGGACTGGAAGATTTTTGGTTTTACGACATTTGTTGATAATAGTTATAAACTTTGTAATTTTGATGATATATGTTATATATGTTCCCACCTAGAGGCTTGGAGCCGATCCTAACAGGGGTTATATATAGCAATAATAAATAGAATATATTTAATCAATGCTTACTTTATTTTCTACTTGTAAATTATGGATTGGAGACTTCCGATTCAGTTTTAAGGTTAATATTATTTTATTATATTTTAATAATGAGTTGTAATATAGTACATTGATAGATCTAATAGCCAATTTTACTTTCTTTTTTAAATTTTTGCGTGCCTAAACTTTAAGTCTGAATTTGTGGAAATTACATAACAAAATACTTACCCCTTTGTTGATACTTTCAAAGATACCAACAGAGATGACTTCAAAGGTTCTTTCGAAGAAGAAAGTTCCTCCAGCTACAACTAAAGCGAACGTGGAAGTTCGCTTAAATACATTGCGATTTAATGCTGACCACAGAGACATTTTGCTAAAATCTGATTAAACCCTCGAGTATCGTTGGATTGATGGCGATCGAATCAAACGTCAAAGTCAAAAATAGTCGAGCAAGAGTCTATGGTTATGATTTTTCTATTCTCTATGGTTTTATTAACGTCAGTGCTGCGTTAGTGTTACAAGAATAAGATGTTGAAAAACTACAAAAAATCCAAAGAATCTCAAAATCCAATAACTTATCAAGAGTTTTTGATTATTCACTTAACTTTTTACCTTTTCAAATAAAAGCATCCTAGACTAAAGGAGCGTGTCTACGCTAGAGGTCTGCATCTGTCTACGGTGATTGTAAACTCCCTTAATTCTATACCTAGCTATGTAGTTGATTCGTTAAGTTTCGGAAATTTATAGGATTTTGAAAGTGACAAAAATAGGTAAATAAAAATACTTAGTTTATTATGGGCAAAATATATCATCTATTTACATTTTAAAATGCTGGTATGAACAATATTTCTTAAAAATAATGAGTACTGAAATGAAACAAATTGAACAAAAACACTGTGCAAACAATATACGCAAGTTAAACAGATCTGTGGCCCCATGATTGTAGATATTCTAACACAAAAATAGACTTTTTTTTTTGTTTCAATGTCAAAGCAAGATAATTCATATAAAATTTGATACAAACATTAATGGCCGAACCAAACATTGTACAAAAATAATGTACGGAATGATACAATAGAAAATAATCATTATATAATATACAAATACTTTATACCAATCTACTTATCTTTATTTTAAAAAAACTGTTTAGGGTTCACCTAAATTAAGCTAAAACTTGCTATTGTCTTAAAACATATGTCATGTGTTGAACAATTTCATATTCAAATGTTATATTATTGAATGAAAAGACAAAATTGTCTAACATATAACAAAAAAAAATATTTTTTATTCTTGTAAAAATGTAGACTAAACTAAAAAATAACAATGAGTTTTGTTCAATCATTATTATTTCATTGACATGAAAGTAACCAATTATTCATAATTATTTAATGTAATTTATAGACAGAATATGGTCTATAATACTTTGTGATCTCTATATTGAAAATAAAAATAAATAATTTGGACTCATATGACACTTGTTAAACAATATAATACTTTTAAAAGAATAAGCTATCAACCAATGTGAAGGGACCATTATATAATAAGGACCATATACACATCACTTTTATAATATCAAATTAATAATAAGATTTTACAATTAAATTAATGGTATACATTTATATATTTCAAATTCCATCTCACACACTCCATAATACACATTTTAATAGAGTACAAACAAATACTTTGACTATGAATTTATAATATTCTTAGTATTTGGAGTTGATTAGGCGATTGCTCTTAATATTTGAGATTGTTCAACCCAGCACATAGGACTAACACTCAAAATTACAGTAAATAATTGCATAGTGGTGGTCACAGTAACTATAGAACATTGACAGGGCTATATCCAATAAATCTAACACCGCCACAATTATATTTTATAGAGATCAACTTGTATACTGTCCATAGAAACTGCACTAGGATTTCATAAGTTCTTTTTCAGCGGATAGACAAACATGTTTGTACCTTGCAGTGACAACTTACAATGTTACAATTATGGTAAACTCTTGGCCAAGGTACTAGTGTCCTGCTAGGGTTGTGCAACATGTCTCAATGTTTGAGCATTGTGTAAGCGACATCCCTGGTGTACTGTCAGCATAAAATCACTGGCAACATTTCTTTACATTCTTGGTTTTGGTTCCTTTTATATTGACTATGTCATTTGCTGTAACATTTTGTCTCTCTTTCATTTCTAATTTTGATCTGAGTACCTGTTTAAAGTAAGAAAACATTAATAAATAGGTAAAGTATACAAATATGACATAAGACAAATTAATTTCAATCTGTTTATCTTATGGGATGGACATAAGATGAGTTCATATTGAACAATAACATTAGTTAAGGTATAACTTAAATTATCTATTTTAAGCCCCATTTTCCTGTGAAATAACTAATTAAAAATAAAAGAGATTTATTTGGAAATCATCATCAGCTTCCCCTCTAAGGGGCTCCGAGCCTATCCTAAGTTTGGATGTGCTGTACTAAAAATTAAATAGGGGTACATAAAGCAGATGTCTAAAAAACTATTCAAGATATTATTAGAGATAAGATGAGATTACACTTACAGTACTATTACATAATCATTATAGAATTTTCTGAGTGATGTATTAAAAGTAGAATGCAATATTATTTATTCTTTAGGTCATTGTTTATTGCATACAAATAAGAAAATTGTAACAATCATTTTATCAGGCTTTGTTCCATTAGGCTATGGATTTATACAAAGCTGATGAGGCTATTGGAATGAACACAGTCCGGATTAACCCATATATTAAAATAACATTTTTGAGACTAAATTATTTAAACTAGTAGTATCAAAAATACAAGACTAGTATTCCCTATAGCCTTTTTGATTAGACATACTACTTTGGACTGTGTAGAAATGAATGAAATGATCTAGAGTTGTTATTGTTCTACAGAAATAATGCTACTTATTAGTTATTTTTATTGGACAGAGACATGCATGAAAATGTATATATCTTTTAAGTCTAAGCATAGCACTAGTATTTGTAATGATTACGGCACAGTAGTAAAAATTTAAGCTCTACCTACTTTAGTTGTATATTATAGCTAATTTTCTTATGAAATAGATAGCATTAATATTATGATATTGTAAGCTTAGTGATAAAGCTAGATAAGATTAGGGTTTCATAAGAGCTTTGATTTTTTTTGTGAATATATTTATAATATTTTGCTATGTAATTTTCTTCCTATTAGTTTATTGTCATATATTACTTTTTATATTTATTCTTGTAACTATTTCAAATAATTAAGAAGCTTTGGCTATTGGTGCTTGTAACATGATGATTAAGAAAAGAATAAATAATTAGTATTAATATTTAAGTGGCCGAGACAAAAAAACGATACACATTTCATACAAGTGAAAGCATATAACATCTTTATTGTAACATCAATTATAAACATAACTTACCATTTTTGTGATAGTAAGAAACATTTCCTCCACATTTATATTTTCTTTTGCACTAGTCTCAAACAATGGGATGTTCATTTGGTTAGCAAATCTTTGAGCATCCTCCGTGACCACTACTTTCCTTGACGGACAGTCATTCTTGTTACCAACTGAAAAATACAAAATTATTACATAATACATATACAATGCTAACATTTTTTTTTTGTTGCATTTTGTTTGATGACACAACAATTCTATGGTTACAGAGTTAGGGATTGACCTTTGTAGTCATTAGATAAGAAAAACAATGGAGATAATGATAAAATGTGTATCAGAATATATCAATCCAAAAATCAATGCAATGAGAATGAAAATGAAATATGATTCTTTATAATATGTGATAAGGTCTAAGTAAAAGAAAAAATAATAACAAATTCATGAAAATTAAGACTTGACTAAACAAACTTGCAATTTTCCACAGCAATTTACTACATCACTACAGAAACTAGGAAAATGTGATAGAGGAAGGATCAAATAAATGAAAATCACCAACCTAGAACTTTGTTTACGACATCACAATTTTGCTCAATCTCATGCAGCCACCTTTTGACGTTGGCAAAGGACTCCCCGTTTGTGACATCGTACACGACGATGACACCGTGAGTACCTCTGTAGTACGTGCTCGTAATCGTTCTGAACCTCTCCTGGCCTGCCGTGTCCCATATTTGAAGCTTCACTCTTTCACCGTTTATCTCTAAAGTTCTTATTTTGAAATCAACACCTATAGTCGTAATATAACTACCGGAGAATGTGTTGTCAGCAAATCGCAGGAGGAGGCAGCTTTTACCAACACCTGGAACACGGTAACTTTCAATATTTAGCACAGAATGACGTTAGGAAGTAATAACACCACTGGCGATCACAGGCCTCGCCCACTCACCACTGTCACCGATAATCAGCAGTTTGAAGAGGTGATCAAATTCACGTGCCATTGCTTATGATTTACGTTGACACTTTACTAATTGGTCATGTGTTTATCGCAAATTTCTTTAATAGTTTAACAACTTTAACTAAAGAAATATTGAATAAACGCATGCCGTAGAACGTTACGCTTGCGTCACTTTACAAAACGTCCGCCATTATTGTCTTGTCTTTTTACGTTCCTTTTCTGACTTAAACCATAACAGATCATCTATTTAAACTTTCCTTAATATTATTACATTCAAAGTTCTTTAAAGCATTTGATTTTTAAGTCAACTAATTTTACTATGTTGTTAATAACATGGAAGTTGAGGATTCCGTAGTTTGTTTTACTATGGAAAATTAAACCACTTGTTTACACCTTGGATAGCAATTAAAGTATTTTTTGTATGTTCTCTTAATGCCTAATTAAATTGGCTAAGTACGGAATTATACTTATACAATAAGTTATATAATATTCTTTAAACTTTGAAAGTTGTGATTTGTAATTTTTGGTCAGAACGAAACGAAACACAGATTTTATTTCATTTGTCAAATAAATCTTTATGCTCTTTGGATAAATGTGTCATTTTCAAACTACTGATAAATAAAGTGTAGGTGTGGTATAAGAGAGTTTATTGCAATAATTTGCACAATGTCGGCTACCTTAAAACCTTATTTAACTGCCGTACGACACACATTAACTTCAGCTATGTGTCTAGAACATTTTTCATCGCAAGTTGTTGAAAGGTACAACAAGCCTGAAGTTGAAGTTCGGACAAGCGAAGAGCTGTTATTAAATCCAGTGATAATATCACGGAATGCGAATGAGAAAGTATTAATTGAGTCATCGATAAACTCTATAAGAGTCAGCATTATGATCAAGCAAGCAGATGAAATAGAGAAAATTCTGTGTAAAAAATTTATGAGGTTCATGATGATGCGAGCGGAAAATTTTATCGTTCTCCGCCGGAAACCGGTGGATGGGTATCATATCAGCTTCCTGATTACAAACTTCCATACAGAACAAATGTATAAACATAAACTGGTTGACTTTGTCATATATTTTATGGAAGAGATTGATAAAGAGATTAGTGAAATGAAGCTTGCTGTTAATGCTAGAGCTAGAATTTGTTCAGAAGAATTTTTAAAGAGATTTTAAGTGTATCCAAAGCTTAGCTATTGTGAAAGTGACTATACTGTATTGTTCCAATAATACTTAAACATGACATGTACTGTATTTCTTTTAAATGTAATCAGTGTATTTCCAATATGAAGTTATGTTTGGATTAAAAAAAATAAACCTGTATTATTTTCTAGTACTACTTAATAATAAAATAAATTTGATTAATTTAAAAATCATGTTCATCATTTACACATAGTTATATTAGGTAATCATTATATTGCCAAATAATTTATATACATTTCCAATAAAAAATAACATATGATAGTTGTGCTTAGATATATTTCAAAATGTTATTGTAAGCATTTAATTATTTTATAGCTGTAATAAATTTTTCTATTTCTACATTTTGTTTTTGTGAATAGAATTTAATTACTACCTTATTTTAATGTTTTCCCTGTACACTATTGTGAAATATATAGAACACTAAATCACTTTTATGAAATGTTCAAAATTATTTAAGCCAATGGGCCACATGAACACAAGTCATTATTTGTCATGGTGTATAGTTAATTTGTGTATAAGTATATTTTCTTACAAAACTGTGATAATTGTAGGTCCCTCATAGGGCAAGTTTGTACTACATGAGAGGTTCCCCAACTGTTTTCTCAAATCTCAGAGTGGTATCTAAGAACAAGAAAGTCACATTTTTTCCTTAAAATTGTAAGTGTATAAGTCCCAATGCATTTCTTTGAAGATCCTGGGACTCTGGTGGAGTTGAGGATGGCCACCAAGTGGGTTTTAGTTATTCAATTATCATATAACCCCATCATTCCCCCGAAGGCAGGACATATTTTTAATATTTCTCCCCGAAGCAAAGGTTCCAAGTGTATAAAGAAATCAAATTGCTTGCGGTGTTTATATTTTATTATACAAGGAACAAAAAATATCTTTAGGATGTAAATTAATCAATATGCTAAATCTATGACCCATGCACAACTTAATTTATACATACATAAATATAATTAAACTATACAAACTAAATGAAACGGAATAAGCATTCAAAGGAAACTTTATAAAATTGGAAAACAAGGAGCTACTTATTTATCAGAGGTGGCTTAGTTCTTTGATTTTGCAGTGCGTAGAGTGAAACCTTCGCCTTTGAAAGCTTCAAATGGTTCTGTGGGTATTTCCTCTTTTGCGCTTGGTGGTCGGGAATTTCTTATAAATCTTAATGTACCGACAGTCCACTCGTAATCAGGAATTCCACGCACATAAGACTATAAAGGAAAATAAGCAAAGTTTAATTAACATTAAAATCAGTGAATTGAAAAGTTGATAAGAATCCAAAAAAAGAAAAATGTTACATAGATAAATGAATATATTATACAGTATTTGAAAATAATCAAGTAGGTCACTGTTTTCATAAGTTAAGATTTAAGAGATAGAGGATTATAATAACTAAATATTAAACAGCTGTTTTTTGTAGTGCAAGCTCTTTTGTAATTGGTAACTATTAAGAAATAATATTTAAAACGTCACTGGGATGTATTCATTTATTTTCATGTATTTATAACTGACCTGTCTGGCTTGTGAACTTTGTGACTCCGATTCACTTTCACTAGTAAGCTTTTTCTTCTTGCCATCGAGTCTGTTGCCTTCACCACTGAAAGCAACAAAACCACTGGGTTCTGGCATAATTGCAGCTGGGTCCTCATCCATACTGACACCTGAACTACCTCCTGCATTTTTCGGAATGTGCTCCTCTTCTTTGTAACCAACTGGTGGTGCAAACTCGACCTTAAAGGACAATAAAAGTGTTTTATGAGGATTAAAAAAAATAAAACAATTCGAGAATCTCCTTCTTTAAGTCAATTGAAAAAGATATAAATGCTTATGAAATGAAATATATCTTAGTATGAGTGGTAACTAAGTACAACTAACAAAGAACAAAGGTAATTATGTATATCATTATTAAATTAAAAGTACATAAAATTTTGAAAGATGCAAAAAAGAGAAGTTTAAAAATAATGTATTTACTTACATTCATATCACATTCAATAATTATAACAGCATTTCCAGGTTTTGTTTCTAATACGCATAATTCATATACTTTCGAATTATATTTGATGGCAATCACATCGCCTGTTGTTAGACATGAGAAATTCCTTAGGCAATTTTCTAGAACTGAAAACACATTTATTTTTCAATGATTTTCTTCAGAGATCAAAATAAAACAATATAGTAAAGAAATTTTTAAAAGGATATAATACCATTTTTTAATGGAATAAAATCTGTTAAGCCCACTACATACTCAGTTTAAATGAACCATACTGAGACTTACATTTGTAGACAAAACTGTCTGTTTCATCTAACAGTTCAAATTTTCCCTGCACTTCTTATGATTTGAATAATTGAACTGTACAGTTAAGACTGGAGATGTGTAGCAGGCTCTATGTATAAAGATATCTCTAGAACGGCAGAACGGATCTTGATAAAATTTGGCATAGATATAGAATTTGTCTGGAAGAACACATAAGCTACTAATTATGTTTCTTTTTAATTAAAACATTACCCTTTTTATCAGTGAAGTAATAAGTAAGTAAAGTAAACAAAATTTACCTGCTTTAGGATTTGTGATATCCAAGAAATCTTCAGATAGTGGCTGGAATTTAGAAAATGTTGCCACTGGTAGAGAGACACTTTCAATTTGGACTACTGTACCTTCTTCCAGTACCAGGTTGGCCATCATCTATTATAAAAAAAACTATATAAGAATTTAGTAAAGTTAATTGTATACGTTTACAAGATGTCCTGTGCTACCTTTACTACATTACATATACTTTCATAGGCTACATTTTTAAAAGTGAAACGGCCTTGCAAGTTAGCAGCCATTAATATATATGAAGATCTAAATTCTATAGTTTTGTAAATAATATAATTCAATATGAACTGAATCATACAAACCCAATGTGGTAGGTAAACTTTTCCTTCATCTGCAACAAATTCCAAGACACCGCAATGTGTGATTCTATTTGTTTTCCTGTTTGTTAGTTTAAATATCATTGGGTACTCAATGCTTAACCTGGTTAGCATTTCCAATGCTGATGGTGGCATAATAACTGGGAAAAGAAATAGACCGTACTCATCAAAAATTTTATAAAATTTAAAGGATTTATCAAAGACTTATGCATGTACTTGAGAGAACAGGACTTTGTAGTCAAGTTTACATTAAATGTTTTGAATTTTGATGCAAAGTATTACAATGGTGATTACATTAATGGTGGTAACTATACTGTAATACGTCATTTTATTTCTACGGATACTAAAATATTTTCGGTAATCTTACTTTTTCCTCCTCTTTCCACGTCTTGCCTTTCATTTCCAGGTAGCATTGACACAGAATAACATCGATAATTCATGTTAAAAGGTCGTGTAATTTCATGAAACATGTTGAATCCAAACTGAAACTGAAAACGTGTAAATTAAAGGCATAGTGAAACTTATAAGAATTATGTGGATTTATTTTAGACTTTGAAAACTGTACCATTTTGAATAGATTTTAAAATACTGATACACAAATAAAGTAAATTGCAAATCATTCAATTCACAAACCAAATCTTTATTTTGTTGTTTATGTCAATGTCATAATCAACAAAGAATAAAAGCACAGGACACAGGATAAGAAAGCAGTGTTGCAGGTCATTTTACTCTCAAAAGTAGATTTAAGGGCTACCAGAATCTACGTTATAAAAATAGTCCCATTTAAACCATTACCTACTACGAATGTATTTGCTTGAAAAAATATGGTGTATTAAATAGGATAATGAGGTAAAGTTAGTATTGTTAAGTGGTTTTGATTTCTGTGTGATAGGTAAATGGTGATGACTTATATAGCTTACATTAAACAAATTAATTAAAGTAAAAACAAAATTCCTAATTTCAGACTATAAGGTAATTTGTTTTTGCGCATTTTCGAAACTTTAGATGAATTGGTAGTTGGCAGCAATTTGGATGTTGGCAGATTGGCAGCGATCACCAATCGTGTATCTCTTTTTGTCTAGTAATCGACAATCGTTCGTTTCATTTCATTCATTTGTGTATGTGGCAGCCGCGGGTGCATTATTCGTCATTTGTCGTTACAAATTGTAAAAAGAATAATCGTACAGTTTTTCTTCATGTAGACACAAGTAAATTCAGTGAGTAAAATTAGTTTTCAGAATTTAGATTGCAAAATAATTAAATTTTGTCAGAATCCGGTCATTGTCATTTTCTTTCAAACATGAATGAACGCCATGTTGATTGTCAAAGGTGTTTTCGGAACGGATGAGATATCAGTGGATTGAACTTTATGTTAATTTTTCAGGCTCCGCGATATTTAGGCATCGCTGTAAGGCCGGTTTGATTTAGATAAAGTAAAGTACATCGCAGCCATGGCACAGGTTTTGCCTATACGTTTCCAAGAGCATTTACAGGTGAGTACGCCCATCGGCTTTTATTGGTTTTGTCGATAGTGCTAGTAACTCGGTGAGAACAGTATCAGCTGTAATAAATTATCGAACAAAGGTATTTAGAAACTAGTTTATGTCTTTTTCTAGATAAATAAAAGTGAAGAAATGACATTGCGCAATTATCGAAGTGACAGTTTCCACCCCCTACTCTGCCTACGGAGGTGTACCGGTATTGATCTTTTCGTATTCCCCTCTGGATCATATGATTTGCGGGCAACTAGGACCATTACCGAATATTTAGGTCACGCAAATACTTACTTTTGATCAATATGTCTATGCCTGTAATCTTAAGTCTTCAATGAATTACTTAAGTTATGTCCTTTCTTATAATTAAATTACAGCCCATTCTTTGGTTGTATATTTAGTACATACACTTTTTATGTTTGTATGGATGTTTTTCTTGTAGGAATCTTATGAGACAAGTTTTATCTAATCAATAAACTGCAGTTTCATGCATTATGAATTACTATGATTTTTTTTACTTGTTTTTGTTTTATTAGATGAGGAAATATATTCAAAAATTCTCTTTTAATATTATAAACACTTGATATGAAATTCATCAGTTTAGTAGTGCAAGTATTGATTTAGGAATCAAAGTTAAGGGAAAGACTGGCTGAATTAAACTAACACTAAAATGTTAATTATTGTATTCTTTTATGATTGAATTGAAAAATTGAACCAAGGCAAAAAAAAATATTTTGCCTTGGTTCAATAGTAGTATTTATATGATTATACAAAAAAAAACATAACCAAAGAGTTCAGTAGAGGGTAGTTAGAGATTTTAAATTTGTCATAGAAACTTTATTTGTTTCTTGTGTACAGCAGTAACTAATCAATAATCGAAAATAGGTCAACTTAGGCCTGAAAAAAAATTTATGAAAGTGTGAATAATTATGAAACTGTCCTATAAATTAATTAGCCAATAAAGAATACTATTTATTAATGTAAGTTTATAGTTAAAAATTTAATTTTTTAGCTCACAAATGTTGGAATCAATCCAGCTTCAATATCTTTCAATACTCTCACAATGGAGTCTGACAAGTTCATCTGCGTCAGAGAAAAGGTCGGTGAAACATCTGAGGTGGTCATAATTGACATGGCTGACCCTACCAACCCTATACGGAGGCCTATCAGTGCCGACTCTGCCATCATGAACCCAGCAAGCAAAGTTATCGCTCTCAAGGGAAAGGCTGGTGTGGAAGGTCAGTAAAGATTACATAACAACTTATTACATTTGTGTCTCTGTGTAGAATTTATATAGTTATGTAATAATCTATTTGAAAATTTTAAAGGTGGTTTGATCAAAAGTATAATTTTTTTATTTCATTTTTGTTAAGATTATTTTAGTTTATGTTTACAAAAACATTATAATTTTAATATGGATTTAACAAGTTATATTATTTCATATGTAAAATAATTACAACATTCTTTTCTTGCATAAAACACAACATTCTATTTAAAAGTAAGATATATACTTTTACATAGAATATTGTGTTTTTCATACAATGTAACTTATACCATGGTCAGTTTATTCATCATCATCCTCAGCTTGGATTCATCCACTGCTGAATGTAGGCCTCCCCCATGGTTTGTCACAAAATGGACAGTTTGACACAGAGTAGGTAGGTCTCCCGCAAGATTGACCAATGACTTGGTCAAGGTTGCGAGGGTGCAATGGATATAGGTGTATAGGACTATTTTATTGCAATCTCCAATTAGAGTTAATGAATTCATTTTTTTAATCAACTATTGCTAAAACATATTTCAAAATTTATTACTCAGATGAAATATATTACTAACCTAACCTAACTGTTCATATCAAATATCAGCTAAAAGAGACATTTTTAAACAAAAGATTATTGTTCATTATAAACAAAGAAAAGAAATCTGTCATAAGATAATAAAGAAAATACTCTGCTTCTGGTATAATTATGCAGTGTCATTTATTGATTACATCACAACATGGAAGATACGCGGCGATGACTCATCTCGTATAATTCTTGACCCAAAACAAAAGGCTAACTACGGAATTACGGAAGATGAGATTTCGCATAAATTGATTAACACGATTTCTTATCAGTTTACTGTTTTGTTTTAAATATAATATATTTATATCACCGGCAAATTATATACGCCGCTAGTTTAGTTTAAAGTTTAAGTTTAGTACAAAGAAAAGTCTCGGGAAATTGCTTAGAAAGGTGACATTTTAGGCGATTGTCATTTTCTGTGCAGCTGATAGAGAATTGTTTGTGTAACTTATGCTTTTTTTCTTCTTCTTTAATTATTCTGTGCTGTCGAAGTCGGCGAGCCCTAGTCCTTAATATTGTATGTATTTAAAACTATCAAATACCTCTTTATTAGTGCTCACGATATCACCAACTAAGTCAATAGGCTCTCAGTAGGGACAGTAATCTAGTTCTTGACTCTATTAGTCTAAACAAAAATTGTATTATTGGCATGAAATATAGATATTTCGTTCAACCTTGATTTTTTTTTTTTATCTGGCACAATTTTCTGGCACCAACGTTAATATAATAGTGCTTAACCTTATAAGCCTGATTCTTAAATATATGGATTCTACATTTTAAAAATTAAATATCTTATTCTTTTTTAGCTTGTTTTAAAAATAAAGATCTTTGTTTTAAATGTTAATACAATTACATTAAAAAGATATGTTCAGTCATTTGGCTACAGTTAAAAAATATTGAATTAACATTCACATCACTTTCATTTTATTTGAAACAAAGCATGAGGGCTCGGTTGAAGGATTTTTTAAATTTGATGAACAGCGCTTAGTCACGCCCGTCGTTTTCATGTAAAAAGGTTCGATTTTATCAAACCTATCCTAACCGAAAACAAATAAATAGACATACAATTGCTAAATAAAAAAATAAATACATTTCCTATTTATTTCATCGAGATACACTATTACTATCATATTTCTCCGATATGCATCTACGCGTGGGTGTTCGTCGGTTACACTATACGACTGACTATCTATTTAACACTCGGAGAAAGAATGCGATTCGAATGAAATGTCTTTCAAGAAAAATCAATTAAGACCGGTCGTCAGGAAGTCACAATAAAATGGAACACCAATATACTTGTATATTCTTGATTAATATAGGTAAACTTTCAAGGGCAATAAATATCGGCTTTCTTTGAATTACGTAACGTATATAGCATAGTAGTTGGACCTCTGAGGACGTTAGGCGAAACATTTGTTCAATCGTCATACAAATATGACGTCATAAAGTTGAAGATTAGATATTTTGTTGTAACGCGACATATGTAGTGAGTCAGTTCAATTTGAAGATATAACCGGGGGTTCCCACTGCCGAAACATACAAAAACATAATGTCCACCAACTCATTGTCTCTTTAAATATAGAAGTAACAATGTTTTGTTGTACAGATTTTACAGTAGTCCACGGTATAGCCTGACCAGAAATTTAAAACATCTCACCAGACTCCGGAATAATGTACAACTAATTTCATTGCGTACTTGTAGGAGATGTAGTTAAAGAGGCGATTGAGTTATGACGGGTTTTCTATTTTCCTAATGAAACTATATCGTCCTTATTCTCAAGTGTTGGCTTATAATCCATATCATATTTTTTTCTCCATATAGTTAATATGTATACAAACATAATTTAATATCTTGTTGTTATACACCGCATCTGATATCTTGCAATGTCAAATTACACAGATAGTGTCAATGTTCGCTTATCTAATAACAAGCCGCGTTAGAGGTATATCTGTACCGAATTGAATATTTAAATTTGGTCATAGACAGTAAAAAATGTTTTTATACGGACTTAAATGGTGTTAATCATAGCTTAGAGGATATAGTTGTTAGGAGGTTGCAGAATTTCTATGACGCCCAAGCTTGATAGGGAATTATTTTTTTTCAAATGCGTGAAAAAAGGCATTAAAAACCTTTGTTAATTGTCTGCATGCAAATATATTCTATTCTATTATCTAGTATTTTAAAATTGGTCATTTAAAAAAGAAAACTTAACCTCCATGGTATAGCAACAAAAAAAGTTATTACTAATTACGCTGGACGCAAAAGTATTAATTAATAGGAAACCATTATTTCATACAGTGGTTACTGGCAGGTGTGTTCATTTATTATTTACTACGTGCGTGCGCTATGTTAATAAGTAATACACTATGTACTTAGTCATTTTATTCATAATAATCATACATGCTTTTTATCCATGGAATGTTAGTGAACATTACGATTGCTAATAGTTTTTTATTACAATATTCATTGGGGAAAAAGTTGTATTTGTCAATGATACGCCCACTAACGAATACACATTTATTATACTTTCTGGGTATACATTTCATACATCCTTGTAACTAGTTTTAGAAATTATTGGTTAGAATCCTTTTGCGCGAATGTCGCGCTAAGTTACCAAGTCATGTAAACACGGCTAAACACTCACGTATATTCGTCCGGTGGCGGCATTGGCGGGACGAATATACGTGAGTGTTTAGCCGTGTTTATATATCAGTTTAGTATAATGACGAAAGTTTAAATAATTTAATACCAAGTCATGTGTCAGATCGATTAGTGAGAGGACATAAACGTTGACATTTTAATAAGGCTAGTGTTGCGCTGACACACGGCACAGTGTCGGATTTTCTTCCTAATACTAATTAGATCGATGAAAATTATAGGTCTATATAATTTTCTAGCTGTAGTAAAAGTACAGGTCTTTGTAAGATTAGACAAA